AGCTAAGGGTTCATTTTCCTGACATCACATTATCTGACCTTTTCCGCTTGACTCGTACATATACTAGATATTGCAAATAAGGGAAACCATGGGACCTATGGTAAAGTGCGTAATATTAAAAAGCTGAATCTGCATATCTCTCAGTGTGTCAGGGAGATAACCTTTTAATTTTATGTTGTTTTTGTTTTTGGTGCTACTGAGGTTTGAACTTAGGGCCTTATACTTGCCGGACAGGTGCTCTGCCACTTAGCCATGCCTGCATTCTTCTTTTTCTTAGTTTTTGAACAGTGTTTCTTTTTATGCCTGGGTAGCCTTAACCATGATACTCCTATATATGTTGGTCATATTGCTTGGGTGATAGAATGTACCAATGAGCTTAGCGTTTTATCAGTTGAGATGGGATCTTGAGGATATTTGTATGGCTGGCCTCATATTATAACTATCTTGATCTCAGCTTTTCCTGAGTACCTGAGGTTACAGGCATGAGCCACTATACCCACGTTAGAATTTTAGATAGAGAATTTCAAACAATGAAGGGCAATGCCAACATCTTACCAACACAATCAAGTGACTTATTTAGATATAAATCCATTAAATGTTTAAAATTCTTTGTGTAAAAATTTCATCTCATTGTCAGCCATCTGTGATGCCTATAGCTGAAAGAAGTGGGAAGCATATAGGGGTAACAAATGACTTGAGCTTAATATTCAGAAAGCTTAATATTCCTTTTGTGTCGGGTATTGCAATAAAAAACTGTAGTTTATTCTATTTGCGTAAAATAATTTTCAGCAGTATCATTATATTTCATATGCCGCTGGTTAAATCTTGAATATTCATGCATTCATTTAAAAGCCTTCTGTTGCTATGGCAGATCCTAATGGTCTGAAGAGCGTTACAGCTTTACTTCAGGGGGAAGAATATTATAACTGAAAATTAAGTCAAAGCTGTTATCAATAAGAACACTCATAAAGAGAAAGAGGAAAGATTGCTCTGTAAATAGTAGGAGAGATTATATTAGATTCCCCAAGAAATTTGAATGTTTTATTGGCTTGGGTCCTAGAGAGCCTAAGAGTCAAGCAGAAAAGAATATCTTCAGACACCAAGGTCCCTCAAATACCTATAGTCATTTTTAACAATAGAATGGACAGCATTGAAACATGTATGCACCTGAAAACAAAGCTTCTGTAGAAATTTTTGCTATAAAATAAAGTGTTGTGAATACTTTAAGACCAAGTCTCTTACCACCTGCAACCTATCCCACCAGCCCTCCTTCCAATGTGCTAGTCCTAATGCCCAGTAGTCTTTCTGGAGCTGCAAATGGTCAAGCTGCCTGGACTTGAAGCCTGACCAACCATGCATCAGCGATTGACTTGCTTAAAGTAAGCATAATACAAACTGGTTTTGCAGCGTTGCTGGGAACATGGAAGGATGCATTCACTACTTCATAACTTTCACATGTTGTTGATTATTCTATTATAGAGATATATCATTGCCTGTCTAAGAAAATTGTAAGAACGGAATGAAATCTCTGTTACAGATAAAAACAAAATTAACAGAGTCAGGTGTCTTGGGATCATCCATAAGTAACCCTATGTTTTGTACATGATAACTTTAATTTTTTAGTAGATTTCAGACAACCTCCATCCCATCACATTTCATTTCATAGATATTTACTCTATCAAGGACTCCCTTGTTTTTGCAACAAGGATTTTTAGAAAGGGAAAGAAAGAAGATCAATCTTCAGGAGTCTTTAGACAAGAACATGCTTAGGATTTGGTCAAAGATGATTTTTAGAGTATCAGTGATGAGCCTCTCCATATATCTTTAAGTCAGGCATATCCAGTAGTGGGATAGACAGGAGTCAGTCATTTGGGGGGGGGATTATTAGTTTAGTTGTTATAATAGTTTCTACTCACTCTTATTTCTCTTCTTCAGATTTCCAGGAAATCAGTTCTTCATCTATGATCCTCCTTCAAAGGATTGAATATATTGAATGCCTTACAGATTAATGCTGTTACATGCTTATTGTCATTTACCACACTTTATCACATGAAGTAGGTATTATATCCTTACATATTATATCATCACAGTAAATGAGCCTTGTATAATAAAATATTTTGAGGAACCAGTTACATGATTTTATGGCATTGTTATAATTGTTCTATTTTGTTAATTATTGTTGCGAATCTCTTATAGTGACAATTTATTAAAGAAACTTTTATACATATATAGAAAAAGCAGAATATACAGATTCAGTATTGTCCTCAGGCTTCCACTGGGCACGTTAGAACATGGAGAACATGGAGAACGTGGAAAATGAAACTGGTGGACCCTACTGTCTTCAGAAGTATTGTTTAGATATTCTCTCTGATTTAGAGACATAACATTACCATCAGAAACAACGGCTTTGAAAACTTACTTCACACAAAATTACACCCATGTTACAGAGTTCTGTTTGTCTTAACTTTTTAAGAATTAAAAAAAATGTAAATGGCCGGGTGCCAGTAGTTCACACCAGTCATCCTAACTACTCAGCGGAGAACTGATTATTCCGGTTCATGGCATGAAAGTGCGTGAAACTAAGTTGCAAAAGGTTAGCAGTGGAAGTCGGGCGTTGGCGGCTCACGCCTGTAATCCTAGCTACTCAGGAGGCTGAGATCTGAGGATCCCCAGCCCAGGCAGGAAAAGCCATGAAACTCATCTCCAATAAACCACCAGAAAACCGGAAGTGGCACTGTGGCTCAAGTGGTAGAGCGCTATCCTTGAGCAAAGAAGCTCAGGAACAGAGAGAGAGAGAGACCACGGACACACAGACAGACAGGCAGGCAGGCAGACAGACAGACACACACACCCCACTCAATGAATACTGGGTGTTCTTGCCATTTCTTGCCCTGGATGACCATATATTTTCCTATTTGCACCTCCTACTAAACCCTAGAACATACCTGTCAAGCATACAGATGTTTATTGAGAGATATCAACTATAGTCTCATTGTACTCAGTGGCCAAACTCGGAGCAAAACGATTCAAGTTTAGACCCTGAGGCCACCAAACTACAGGCCGACACATTGCTAAACTACAATTCCCAGGATGCCATTGAACTCCGATGTTGCAGTGTATCTTGGGAAGGATGTTCTCAGCTCTGCTTGGGCCCCAGGGTGGGGAAGCGCCAAAGTTGGTGCTTGAGGGTACGGAGGCTGTGAGGATCGGATCTCGCCTGAATTTCCTCGGAACTCATTTTGCCGGGCAGCTGTTTTAGCCGGCAGGATTTAAGAACCGTGTCACTTCCGGTGATACCGGAAGTCGCTTGAAAATGGCGTCCTCCACGGTAGGCAGTCCTGCCTCTGGAGCGGTGGGAGCTACGAAGAAAGAATTTCGAAGTCAGAAGCCGGATACAGAAAACCGAGGTGAGGCCGTGGGGGACTCGAAGCCTGGCTGTGGTGGGTGTTGAGTGTGTTTGCCCGCCCCCTTCGTGGCTGTGACGGTGTGAGGTCGTCCGTGGCCTGTTCCGGGCGGTGGAGGGGGTTCGGCCGCGCCGGCTGGGACCCGCCTGCGGGGGGCCCGGCCACGCGTTCCCAGCCCCACACAGTCGAGCCGCAGTGGAACCCGTGTCCTGGAAAAGGTCGGGGGTGAGGACGCGGCCGGGAGCAGCGCGGAGGCCGCACCGGGACCGGCCGGTGGAGGACGGGGACCCCGCCGGGCAGGGGATGGAAGGCGTGGAGCAGACGAGCCACCGGGCCGGAAGTCACTGCCTGCTCCTTCACTCTAGCGTTTCAGTCAGTAAGGAAGATTTGAAATACGTAGCTGCTATTTCTGCCTTGTGTTTGGTCAGACACAGCGATACGCATTGTAGACGACGCGTTTCGTTTACCTTGCTGCGCTATTTTTAAATGGTCTGCTCCGTAGTTTGGTTTTACAATGTGAAGGAATGGAAAAGATCACTAGAGAAGTAGTACGGGGACTTGCTCAGCCAATCTTGTAGAAAGTGTTAAAAAAAAAAAAAAGAAAAAAGCTTGAACTTTCATTCCAGATCCGTCGGGAAAGCATCAAAAGTTGTTTTTTTTTAATTGTTGCTTTCAAAAATGTCACAAACACACAGAACGGACTATAGATATAAAAAGATCAAAATCACACTGACTCTTTATGGACTGAATGTCTTGTATGAAATCGGACTCAAAATACAGCTTCTTCTTTTCTTTGTATTGCTGTCAAAGACTTGTAGAAATAGGCCCCTGAAAAGGCCTTTGGAATTCCAGATCCCCAAACCCTAAAATGCTAATTATACAGTGAAGTTCCACACCAGGAAAGTCAGTAAAGGTCATTAGTACTTAACATAGTGATATAAACAAATGTGAACCTTCAACTCTACCATGGTGCAGGGAAGTAGAAGTTTTTTAGGTATCATCTTTTTTGTCTTGCATATGTTAACTAATGTAGATGTAGGAAGTGCCCATGCCCTGTTTTCTTTCTTACCAGACTTTTAACATGTTTTGATAATCTTGTTGAATGTGTTGGTAATTTTATAGGGGGTTAATAATGACTGAGTCATGTTCTTTGATTGTTGTATAATACAAAAACCAAGAAGAGGAAATGCAAGGAGAGTACTGGGAATTTATGAATGTGTGCATGTAATATTTACAAAGTACTAAAAAGACCATTAAAATGTACTGGGTACATTTTTTCCCCCACTACAGATGAACCAGAACTCCTTACTGTTCCTGATGGTTGGAAGGAACCCCCTTTTTCTAAAGAAGACAATCCCAGAGGACTCTTGGAAGAAAGCAGTTTTGCAACTTTGTTTCCAAAATACAGAGAGGCTTACTTGAAAGAGTGTTGGCCTTTGGTGCAGAAAGCCTTGAGTGAACATGTATGCATATTTTGTACATTTCTTTGAGATTTTGCTCTTGCTTATGCCATTATTTTTAAGTAATTATGTGCATGCTGATTGGTTTTGTTTTTAGAGGTACAAAATAGCTGGCTAAATTAGTTTCTTTGGTATTTAAACATTATAGGTAAACTTTGTATTTTTACAATTCTTGCACTTTTGACTTTGTCAGTAATAAAGTGCTTTGAAATGTTCACACACCTCTAACCATTTACAGTTTTGTAAACTAGCCAAAATAAACTATCACCTGTGAAGTACAGATTTTAGAATGCCTATTGTAGGCCATGATCATTACCATATCTTTGTCCAGTCTGAGCGGACTTATGTTTGTAATTGTTTAACTTTCGTTTTGGATGAAAGATATATGGCCTATCTTCTATTTGTCTGCTACTGTGTCCCACGAGAGCAGTATTTTTGTTGTTTTTGAAATTGAGGATTGAAGCATGTTAGGGGATTGAAATGTTAGTGATTATGAGCTTTTGGTGTGGGTAACATGCTAGTTGTGATATAAAATGTGTATCTCAGTGTGGACAGCTGTGGAGTTGGTTATACCTGTTGGAAACAATCCTGGCTTAGCAGGCAACAGACTATACTTTTTAGTTGTCTAAGTCTGAGATTAAATTAATTTTTTTTCTTGGAAACTCATGAAAACCCAACTTTATGTTGAGGTGTTCATCACTCACTACTAAAGCATTCTTCATATTATGTAAAGTCAGAAAATAGCATTTTTATTTCCTTTGTGGATATCTGATTTGGGCTATTGAGTGTTAATGCTGCAGTTTCCTGATTGCTTCTTTCTGAACTTGTTATAATTTTCTTTTGCTTTGTATTGCATACCCTAACCAGAAAAAAAGTTTGAAAGCAACATTCATTTTTCGCTCTTGAGGGCACATCCTGGGTTCAGGATAGAGAAACTATACAGTTTTAATTACCAAAGTATCTTAGATAGGTCTCACTTTGCTCACATTTGAGTTGATGTATGTGTATACACATGCATATATTTAAAATTAGAGATAGTCTTTATTCCAATAAATACACAGTATTCTAAAGCCAGATGTAAAATATTTCAATTGTTTCAGTTTCTTACATTTTGTGAAGTTTCAAAGTAATCAAATACTCTTACACAGCTTTTTCCAGGGAAAGAGTTGATAGGATTTGAGAGGTAGCCTAGCCTTTTAAGGCCCAGAAATTAAGTTAGGATGAGAAAGACTTTGTAATTATCAAAAACTAAATTCATTTTAAGCCATTCTTTTTTGTTTGTTTCTTTTTGTAGCATGTTAATGCAACTCTGGACCTGATTGAGGGCAGTATGACTGTGTGTACTACAAAGAAGACTTTTGATCCATACATTATTGTTAGAGCCAGAGACCTAATAAAACTGTTAGCAAGGAGTGTTTCATTTGAACAGGTAAATTGCGAAGTACTTCGCTTTATCTGCATGTTTAGACAGCCTGTAATACAATATCTTCCTCCTTACCCCTGTATTCCTATTTCCTCCCTGTCCTCTTTCCATCATAGACTTTCCTGCTGTGTGCAGACATTATTAGTCTGGCCTTGGGACATGAATACCAGTTGTAAAAAAAAAAATACTGATTTTATTTTACTTTTTTTTTGGAAAGGCAGTACGAATTCTTCAGGATGATGTTGCATGTGATATTATTAAAATAGGTTCTTTAGTAAGAAATAAAGAGAGATTTGTAAAAAGAAGACAACGACTTATTGGTCCCAAAGGATCTACATTGAAGGTACTTTTTATTGTCAATGGAAAAATTGAAGTCTTTTCTTATTAGTTTTTCATTCTATTTAATTTCTGCTTAATGTTCCTTTGATGTAGGCATTGGAACTCCTAACAAACTGTTATATCATGGTTCAAGGAAATACAGTTTCAGCCATCGGACCTTTTAGTGGCTTAAAGGAGGTAAGACCTGTTATCTTTGTTTATTAAAGCAAATTTACAAGTTCATTTGATTGTATTAGTTCATTGGATAACATGGTGTTATAGTCATTTTGCATTTTTAGAATGTGCTGTTTGATTTCCCTTCATTAAATATTTATATGTCCTGTAATGTGAGGGAATCATCACTCCTGGTTCCTAATGTATTTTGGACAATCAAAATGGCTGGAAACATCCATTTCTGAATTAGGTCTTATATCATTACTCCTTCCATTGTAAAATGTAAATGGGCATTTCTGTTCCTGCTCTATAACAAAGAAGCATGGTGTTCTCCATGTATTCAAGTAATTAAAAATTTGTACTGATCTATATACCAGTAGAGGTCACATTGAAAAATAGGTATTTCCTTCAAAATAGACATTTTGTTTGAATTTTAGCATTCCTCATAAAAGTTTTCTTTAACTTGAAAATGTTCTGAGAGAAATCTAAGGAATAAATAAGTTTCTGTAAGCTCGTTTTAATGGTATCACTATCTGTATCTGTTTGTGTTGTTTTACTTCCGTCTTAGGAATCATTTAATAGCTATCCCATTGGCTTTCTTTCTCACAAATTGACTGCCCGTTTGTCATGGAGTACTAATAGCTTCATATATTATATGTTTCATTATTTTGAAGGTTGGGGACATAGCTCAGTAGTAAAATGCTTGCCTAATATGCATAAGGCTCTGTGTTTGATCCCTAGCACTGCAAGGGAAAATCAGAATATATTTTGCAGTTTTGTAAAGTCTTTGAAACTTGTTATTTGATTCTTATAATGTACTTGAGTTTTTAATACAATTTTATTTTTTACAAATGAAAAAGCTGGAATAGGAGTATCAATTGACTTTCTTATATGAAGTGACTGCCCCATAATTTGAACTCTCATATTCTGCTCCTAAACTGCCCTCTGTCCTTAAATTACTAGCTTTAGCATGTTGGAATGTGCCAACTTTCAGCAATAATAGAGAAATTTTATTGTATTCAAGGGTGCTTGACTGAAAAGTCTAGAAGCCACTTAGAGCAGTTGAAGAAATTATTAGATTCAGTGTGATAAACATTTCTTGAGTCATAGGATTTTTCTCTTCTATCATGTTCATTTAGATCTTTGTAAGTTACTAACTAATTTTACTTTGCAAATTTCAGGTTCGAAAAGTAGTACTAGATACCATGAAGAATATTCATCCAATTTATAACATTAAAGTAAGTGTCAAATCACCACAGCAATGATCATCAAGTTTGTTTTATTGAAAGTTCTTTCCAGTCAAAGGAACTTTGATTGAATTCTCATGAAACTTATCAAAGCCTAATATATAGACAGATAAAGCAGCTATTTGGGATGAATTCAGCCTGCACGGCTTTTCTGCAGTCATTTGAGGCTTATATCTCCAATGTAAAAAATATTGAAAGAAATGCTGTTACTCATTTTATATTTCTAATACAATAATAATACACCTCACAGAATTTATTATAGATGATAACAATTGTATTGGACAGTAAGCCCATGTATTGTATTTAAAGATGTAATTTTTTTTTTTTAGGAGTCTGTTTTCTAATAATATCTAGACTCAGATTACATTAAAATTTTCTTTTTTTTTTTTTTTGGGTCCGGTCATGGGGCCTGAACTCTGGGCCTGGGTGCTGTCCTTCAGCTCTTCAGCTCAAGGCCAGCGCTCTACCACTTGAGCCACAGCGCCACTTCTGGCTTTTTTCTTTTTGCTTATGTGGTGCTGAGGAATCGAACCCAGGGCCTCATGCATGCAAGGCAAGCGCTCTACCACTGAGCCACCTTCCCAGCCCAACATTAAAATTTTCTTTGAAAATTACTACTAACATTGTAGCCTCTCTGAGAGAGAATGCTGTATCCTTTTTTGTGTGAAAAAAGTTTAGTTTGTTATTAGAATTGGAAATATAACCATGGTATATTGAGTTCTTTTATGGTGAGTATTTGTTGAGCAGTTCACTTGAATTTGAAAGCTTGAAAATAACTAGATAAGATTGAAAGTGATTTTGAGTTACATCAGGACATTACAGATAAAAGGAAAGCTAATTGTACATTCTGATGTCTTTTTGATGTTCTCTTTTGCTTCAGTTTCTACAAAATTGAAATGCACTGGGGAAATAGGAGAATAGAATTGACTTTTGTCAAAACCACTAGAACATTTACTTCTCTCTTAGCCTATCTAGTTCCCATTTGCTTATAAGGAATCATCAGCTAATTGAGAACCCTCCTTACTATGCTTTAATGAAATAATGGTTGAAAAGCTTAATTTTCATACTATTTTCACTAAATTGTGTTTCTTTATCTAAGTTTGTAATTCTTTTATGGTGCTTGACAAATTGTGCATTTTTAAGATGGCATTTTTATGGTGCATTTGGAAAAGTCAGAAATAGTCCCTTTAAAAATTTTATTTATCCAAGCAGTATGTATGAATTTGACATTTACATTTTTATTTGTGTGTATGACTATAGACCTTAATGATTAAACGAGAATTAGCAAAAGATTCTGAATTACGATCACAAAGTTGGGAGAGATTTTTGCCACAGTTCAAACACAAAAATGTGAACAAACGCAAAGAACCAAAGAAGAAAAGTGTTAAGAAGGAGTATACACCATTCCCACCACCCCAGCCAGAAAGCCAGGTCAGTATTGAGTGCCCACCTTTACATAAAGGGGAACATCAACCTATTTTGTCAGGAAGTTTATTGAGGGTAGTTTAGGTGAAATACAGGAAATTGAAGGTCAGGCGTAAATAGGCATATTTTGAGCTAAGCAAATGTTGGGCTGTTCAGAGTGAGCCTTCATGCTGTGAATATGATGGCTTGTGTTACTAGTGCACTGGTAGTCACTGTAAATGGACAGTTTTGTTTTTTTTTTTAAAGAGCGATGTAGCTTACTACATCTTAAGTTATAACATCCACCTTTTTTTGAGTTTCAAATTTCATTTTGTCAGCTGTATTTCTGGTAAAACTTCTTTCTAACCATGACCAGAATTTCCTTTTTTCTTCATACCCATCTTGGTTTTTTGTTTTTGTTTTTTTTTTGGGTCCAGTTGTGGGGGGCGGCCTAAACTCTGGGCCTGGGTGCTGTCCATCAGCTGTTCAGCTCAAGGCTAGCGCTCTACCACTTGAGCCACAGCGCCACTTCCAGCTTTTTTTCTTTTTGCTTATGTGGTGCTGGGGAATTGAACCCAGGGCCTCATGCATGCAAGGCAAGTGCTCTACCACTGAGCCACCTTCCCAACCCCCCCATCTTGGTTTTAAGTTCCCTTTTTGCTTTGTATCACAACTTCCCATCAGAACTCTAAAACTTTAGATCAGTCTAAAAGAAAAATACTGCTTTTGTTTCTTCTCTCTACTCAGAATCCTTCAAATTCATGATCCTCCTGCCTCAACCTTTGATTGTTATGATCCCAAAGCATGCCACCATACCCACCTTACCTTCAGTCATTTTAAAGTCATATTCTACCTCCTTGCCTAGTATTTGGTTTTCTTCAAGCTTCCCCAAAACTTATCTTTTTTTCCTCTCTTTTCTGAATCCTGACCTTCCTCCCCACCTGATTTAGTCTGTTTAGTATTAGTGAACACAATCCCTTTTCTCCTAGCTAACTCCATGTTCGTATTTCAGCTTTGAGTATAGTTACTTCTTGAAGCTTATTATTTCATCATAGAATGTTAATTCCACTGTTTTTATGCCCTAGCTTTCTTAGAAAATTGTCATTGCATTATTTCTGATGTAATTATAAATACTGTTTTCATTAGATTGATAAAGAACTGGCTAGTGGTGAATACTTTTTGAAGGCAAATCAGAAGAAACGACAGAAAATGGAAGCAGTAAAGGTAAAATTCATTATATCTGTCTCATTAATAGAAAAAGTTCATAGCTGCTTGAAGTCTTATTAAGTTTAAGTTGTACTTTACTAATACGTTTCTTACTAATGTAGGCTAAACAAGCAGAAGTTCTTAGTAAGAGACAAGAGGAAAGAAACAAAGCATTTATTCCACCTAAAGAAAAACCAGTTGTGAAACCAAAGGAAGGTAATGTTCATTTTTCACTTAATATTATTCATGACAAACTTACAGTGATTTTTATTTGACTCTCTCATGTTAGGAAATAACCTTGTTCTTCATCATATTGTCTTTGCATTTCATTAGTTACTAAGCTTAGGGACAAGAGATGACAGAGGCAGTTAGGAAATTAGTAGCAAGCAGTTAATGCTTGTTAGAGTGCCCAGGAATGGTAGTCCTCCAAGCTCTGACCTGTGCTTGGGAAGATAAACCCAGAGCATTTTTATCCTTGATAAGAATAAGAGTATGTGAAGGACTAAGATCCTTTAGTCTGCTATCATGCATCTTAGAAATGGCTTTTCGGAAGTTGTCCTTTTTACTTATTTGATATTTGGCTTAACATTTGTTTTGGTGTTACTGTGTAGAGCATTGACAGAAGGTCAAAAGAAACTAAGAGGGGAAGAAACACTTTTGCCTTCTCTCCATTTCTAGCCTCAACCTCTCCTTCTAGTAGCACTTGTGTTCTGAGTAGATCAACCCTCCAAAGTCAGAGGTGGCAGGCACATGGACGGCCAAAGGATTATTGGCAATGCTATATATAAACTATAGGTCAATTACAGAACTACCACATTACTCTGTGGAAATCCTGTTTCGCTTTACTGTTTTTGTTCATTTGATTTTTTTTCTTTTTTTGCATTTATTTTATGAGCTTTTGGAGTTCTGTTCTTAAATGTTTTCCCTATATTTCTTGTAATACTTTTGAAGTTTTCAGGTTTTATATTAAGGTGTTGGATCCATTTTGAATTTTTTTGTGTGTGCAGTGAACTATAGTGGTCTAATTTCTGTGTTGTACATGTGCTATCCAGTTTTCCTGGCATTACTTGTTCCAAGAGCTTTTCTTATTTTCCAATGTACCTGTGTGAAGAACCAGATAACAGTAACTGCTTGGTTTATTTTTGGGTTCCGTATTCTTTTACATTGGTCTGGATGTCAGTTTTTGTGCCAACCCCATCCTTTTTTATTACAATGGGTCTCCAGCATTTCTCTCTCTGCTCAGGATTGCTTAAAACACTATATTCTGTGAATATAATTGGTTTTATAAAAGTAAAGTATCATAGCATTATAATTTTCAGTTATAATTATAAATAAATGTATTTCGTTATAGTTTTCAGCATATTGGAATTACCTGGTAGCTAGTTAACTGGGTCTGTAGTGATTAAGGATAATATATGCTTTGTATAGTGGAGGCTTAAATCTTACACCTCTGGTGGCTATATTGTTAGTATAATGACATTTTATCTTGTTTTATGATCTGAATACTGTAACTTAAGTGATAAGAAAAGGCTACGTTTATTTTATTGCTTCTGTTTTATTCATGCTCTTGGCATTGTTTAGGAAGACCATCATATACTCTCAAATACTGTCTTTACTACCAAAAATCTTGTTAAAAATAATTTGTGACCAGTTTATTTCAGTTTTTATTGTGGTCTTCATGATGATGACCTGTAGCTTCCTATTTAGCTAATATTTTTCATGAGAAGTAACTTAAATTATTTTTATATGCTAGATGGAAAATTGATGTGTTAGTGAGCTTTCTAAATTTCTAAAATATAGAAGAAAATATAGGTCAAAATGTCTGGAATTACTGAAAAACTATAGTTTTAGCATAGTGGATCAATAAATTACCATGCCATTTTCATGTGTTTTTACTGATGGATGAGTTCCTCACTTCCCTTTAGGAAGGTGCTTTATATTTTGTAACATGACCTATAGTTATTAAAATAATACTGTGAAGTTATTGCCTTTAACATCTTTTCTAAAGAATTGCATATATTTTCTTTATAATTTTTCTAGCTTCTACTGAAACTAAAATTGACGTGGCGAGCATCAAAGAAAAAGTTAAGAAAGCAAAGATGAAGAAGCTGGGAGCTCTTACAGCTGAGGAAGTTAAGCTTAAGATGGAAGCAGATGGAAAGAAAAAGAAGAAAAAGTAACATAGAAATCTGAACTAGAAGCCAGGCACTAGTGGCTCATGCCTGTAATCCTAGCTCCTCCAGAGACTGATCTAAGGATTGCAGTTTGAAGTCAGCCTGGACAGAAAGTTTGTGAGATTCTTACCTCCAATTAACCACCAAAAAGCAAAAAGTGGAGCTGTGGCTCAAGTGATAGAGCACCGGCCTTGAGTGAAAAAGCTCAGTGAAAAGGGAACAGTATCCAGGCCTTGAGTTCAAGCCCTGTATTGGTTGGCGCACACAAATCTAAAGTAGTACTTATGAAGCTATCTCCTTTTGTAAAGGATTTCTAGAAACCAGGGCATTACTTGCCTCTATTTGTGAGAAATAATATTGATACTTTTTCTTTTGTCTTTTTTTTGTTAATAGAATGGTATTTAAAATCTTTTATGTGTATTTTGAAAAATTTGTCTTTGTGAACATTTTGTTTAATCAATGAATGGATGACAGGCAGGTTTTGTGGAAGCTCAATTTTAGCAATAACTTTCAGGTTCTTTTAAGGGTGGTGGTGGTATTGGGGTTTGGATGCAAGGCTTTACACTTGCACTCTAGTACTTGGTCTATGCCTTTATCCCTTATCTGAGTTTGCTTTCTACCCGGATTGGCTTGGACTGTCATTTTCCTATTTATTCTTCCTAACGCTGCTGGGATAACAGGTGCACACTATTGTGTCCAATATTTTTCTTCTAGATGAGGGCGTACACTAATATTTTTCTTAGGCTGGCCTTGAACCATGAGCCCCATGATCTCAGCTTTGTGAGTGGCTAGGATTGTACAACTATACTAGGATTGAACAACTATACTAGCTTCTAGTTTTTGTTTTATATCCAGTATTTTGGGAATGTGGCAATTGTAATTATACATTAAATCCCATGTCTGATATTATTGCTTAGTCTCTAGATAAAATAATCTCCCAGCATTTGGTTTTGAGAAAACTTAATGCAAACATTTCAGCGCTCTTTATTCTTCTTTATTGATACTAATATTTTGGCTTGTCCTTTTTCTCTCTTTTTTTTTGGGGGGGGGTCCGGTCGTGGGGCCTGTACTCTGGGCCTAGGCGCTGTCCCTCAGCTCTTCAGCTCAAGGCTAGCGCTCTACCACTTGAGCCACAGCGCCGCTTCCGGCTTTTTTCTTTTTTTTGTTTATGTGGTGCTGAGGTATGGAACCCAGGGCCTCAGACATGCAAGGCAAGTGCTCTACCACTGAGCCACCTTCCCAGCCCCTTTTTCTCTTTTTTTACAATTTTATTTATACCTCAATTCAAGTTTATAAGCAGGCCTCTGAAATCAAATCCTGTAGTTACTCCTCTGTTTTGAGTCTGGGTAAGTGGTAAAGGAAAAGACAACCAGTTGGAAGAAAGCATAGAAAACCAAGTGGTAAGAGTTGAAGGAGCAGTGAGGATCAATGATAGCTTTCTTGTCTTCGGAGATGGGTTCTCTGTGTAGTCTGGGCCAGCTGGCCTGGGACTTTTGATCCTCCTGTCTCAGTCTTACATGCTTACCAGAATGTTAATGTCTTTTTCCCCTCAAATGTTAATTCCTTAACTAGTGGGACTTTAACTAACTCAGAAGGTAATTAAACCACCTAAATCTACATCACTGATTTTGTAGATTTGGAAGTTGAAATGTGGAGCCCACAGACCTCCTAGAAGTCTAACATGGCAACCTAAAAATAATACTAATAACAAAGTTTTCATTTAAATAAGGCTTTTTACTGAAGGAACACTAAAAAATAAAAACAATTTAAAATAGAAAATATACCCAATGAAAATGTATATAATTTTTTTAGAAGCCACATTCTTCTTTCTGCCCCTGATTTGTTAGTCCATAATAGCTAAATTAGGGTACTTGTGCTTTATGAAAATTGTCATTATAACAGACAGTATTAGAATTATGGACTTAACAATGAGAAAGAGAGATGTGTATCTGTTCCGAGAATATATGGGCCAGTCTGGATAATCAACAGAATAGTAACCTGTGAAATAAACATAGATGACATCTTACACATTGTTTCATATAATGCAATGTCATAATCACATAATGCTTCTTGTAACAAGGTAATATACATACGTGTTACTTTGTCTCGCTGTGGATTAACTGCAAAAGCAGGAGAATTTGAAAAAAGGTTAGGTACAGGTGAAGCTGTTGTGTTGAAAAAAATAAATCTTTAGAACCATTTTTAAATTGACAGAACTTTGTTGCAATGACTTTCAAAGGTTATTCAAGCTGGGCACTGGTGGCTCATGCCTGTATTCCTAGCTACTCAAGAGGCTGAGATCTGAGGATCACAGTTGAAAGCCAGCCTGGGCAGGAAAGTCAATGAAACTCTTTAATAAACCATCAGAAAACAGGAAGTGGTGCTGTGGCTCAAGTGGTAGAGCCCTTGCCTTGAGCTGAAGAGCTGAGGGACAGCACCCAGGCCCAGAGTTCAAGCCCCACAACTGACCAAAAAAAAAAAAAAGTTATTCAGAGCTTTTTTTTGTAGTTTTAACTTGGTACATTTTTAAGTTTACATTTTATATACATAAAGTTTAATACATAAGTTTTTTGGATAATGGAAATTATCACTGCTGGAAAATTATACTATAGTAGATAGTGTTAAAATTCAATTTAAAACTGGAACACTAGGGGCTGGGAAGGTGGCTCAGTGGTAGAGCGCTTGCCTTGCATGCCTGAGGCCCTGGGTTCGATTCCTCAGCACCACATAAGCAAAAAGAAAAAAGCCGGAAGTGGTGCTGTGGCTCAAGTGGTAGAGCGCTAGCCTTGAGCTGAAGAGCTGAGGGATAGCGCTCAGGTTCAGAGTTCAGGCCGCACAACTGGACCAAAAAAAAAAATAGTAACTTGGACAAAACAAATAGTTGTACTCTTAATTCTTTTATAAAGACAACAGTAATATCGTTTACATTGATTTATGATAGGTGGTTACTTTTACTCACTACAGAGGTTTTCCACACACTTGTCACTTTGGGGGCAGGCACTGCATGTGGCTCCTTTCTTATATGGCCAAGTTGGGTAATTTCCTCTGTGAAGTAGAAGGCTGTTTGTTAGCATTTTGGTTTTTTTTTGTTTATATTTTCACTCGCAATTTTTATATAGACATCCTTAACCAGATCCAGAAGAATAATAAGCTCAAAGTCCAAAAATTCGTAGTTGGTAAAATACATGAAGAATGGGAAATAGAAACTGAAGCTAAGCTGTCATTTTACTAACTTTTAGAACTCTTAAATTTGTATAGTGATACCCTTTGAAAACTGTGGAGTCTCAGTTGTTTTTAAATAAAATGCACAATTAGAAAGGAAGCTGATTAAATTGAAGTAGCTATGAAATTTTTAAAAGGTTTGTGATAGTGTTACATCTATTGAATATTAAATAAGATTTAGCATTTGGTATAATACACTCATTTTCAAGGTAGTGATGATCATAAACTGTATTTTGAGGTACCTGCAACTAGAATGTGATGTGAAAATATCCAATATTTCCAAGAATATAGCTTCTGTTAATATAAAATCAGATATTGCTAAGATGCCTGTGATAAGTTCTCTTCATACAAAAAGGTAATGTTACTTTGGATAGAGGTAATCCAGATTTATGGACTTTCCTATTTTCCGTAGTTCCCTTTACCTCCAAAATTAAGAAGTCACTACTAGAGGTATATCTTTATTTTAACACCTCATTTCCAACCTGTTAAAATATGTTCAAATTGGGGTTGCTTCAGAATTTAAATTTATTATTCCACTTTATTTAAAGGAAAACAGTCAGTGTAGTATACCAGAGATTTCAAAAGATGTCCATAATTAGGCAGAATAATACTAAGTCACTTTAAATTTTAGAGTGATTTTAGTAAAGTCATTAACGCTACCTTATTTTCAAGTTGAAGAAGGAAAACTTTGCTATTTTAAGCTAAAAACAAGGCAGTTGTGACTTTCAGAAAAAAGGAAGAATCAATCATCTTGGGGAAAATTTGCTTCTGGGAAGGCCTAGTAAACTGTAAGGGATTAGTATCAAATGCTTAGCCAGCAGAGTTGGCCCCTTTTTCTTATGCCTACAATCTAAGCCACTTAAGGGGCTGAGATCTGGAGGATCATGATTTGAAGTCAAACCAAATAGAAAAGTCTGTGAGGCTTCAGCTCCAAAAATAACCAGCCCAAAGCCAGGCTTTTCAGAGGTGTGTCTCATGTTAAGAGTGTTAGGCTAAGCTAAGTGCAGTCCCTGAGTTCAAACCAGGAATCTCCCTAGTTCCCTCAAGTGACCAAGAATCTAACATGCTCTAGTGAAGAAGTGGAGTAGTTTCATATTTGGCCTCATAAGCCTGAGAGATAAGAGGTTTGCGATCCTAGGAAAAAGAGAAGCCCAACAGTTGAGTGTCTCTGAAGCAGTATTTTCCAAGGCACAGTAAGTAGGTAGAGCAAATTTTCTCTAATCCTCTTCTCTACTATTCCTTTTGGATAGTCTGTTATGCAATGCCATATATATGGAGTGAAATATATGAAGAAAGCTATAGGCATTCTTAGAAAGGAGACTACTGGACTTCTTGTAACACTTAGGTAGAGTGGGGCTTATAACTTTCATAGCCACCTTAAGTGGCAGGTGCTATTATTTTGATTGTTTGGAGACAAAGATTCAGAGAATTTGAGCTCACACACTAAAACAATTGTACTTAGAAAGTGCTTGGCACATTGTAAGTGTGTGCAGCATTCTTCAGTAATGTAATGATTGAAATCAGATTTAAAGTTTTAATGAGAAAAATATTAAGTTTTCTAAATGTATGAGTAGGTTTATATAAAGAGGAAATGAGGATCATTTTTCAAAGGATCACTTCTCAAAAATCAGCAACACTTTTTCAAATTGGCCACATTTTAAAACTTGGAAAATTTTGTTAACTTAAAATTTAACATCATTGTATTTAATTTTCCCATTTAGTGCTATTGCCGTACTGAATTAACTAATATTCCTTAAAACAATTATGGTTTTGCTATTCTTAAAAATATGTGTATGTATATGGTATTCATAAATGTTTCACACACATAGTAAAAGTACCACTGTGTTACTGTAGTAGATCTGAGCAGAACAATTAAGAATCATTAATTTTCTTCTTTGCAGTACATTGTATATTCTATAACAAAGATAAGTACTTTAAGATATAACTTATTTTTACATTAAAAATTTTAATTATCTTTAGTTGTATAGATGGTTTCAATTCAACATTAATTTATGAGTGTGCTGCATCTTGATCAGTATCCTATGCCCCATCATTCTCTTCTCTCCCATTTTCCCCAACCCTATCTATCTCTTTAAGTTACCTCAAGTACTCCTCAAGTTACTCCTTAGCAAAAAAAAAAAAAAAAAGTTAATGCAGACTCACCCTGGTCCATAGTTGCATACAAAATGTGCTCCATTGGAAAGTTGTTCAAAGCCAGAAACTTTAGGGCAAAATTGCACTGCACAGCCAACTTTGTAACTATCTGCCCAAACAACCTGGAGACATACAAGGATTTTTTTTTTTTTTTTTTTTTTTTTACCGAAGGGGGCAACAATGGAATGAACATCCATACCATTTTAGTTGAACAACTCTTACTACCAAGAAATTATAGATGCTCAGAATTTAGCTAGGAACAATCGTTATCATTTGTGTACATCTGTGAATAAACACAATGTGATCCTTGGCAGTTATTACAATGAAGAAATAAAATAAGCGTAACTTGATGGATAAAACTAACTTCTATCAGACAGAGTGATGTCTTCTCTTAGTGTACAAGAGCAACATAATTCCTTAAAAACTATTGAAGCTTAGTATGAAGGTTAGGATTAATGCTTTACAAGCAGGATGATCCCCCAAAGGACTGTAACTAGATGTTAGTGCCTCCATATTTAGAGATGAGAGTTTGGAACCTAATTCTTCCTGCCTGGTCACAAAACCCTCAGGTCCTAAGCAATGTGCTTGAGGGGTATTTTCCCTTGTAGCAAGCCTTACAGAACCAGAAACACCATACTTTCTTAACAAAAGCACTGTGTTTAGGGAACCTACAAGGGAGGGTTTGTCTTTCCTTTCTTCTCTAACAACCTTTTCATATTCTTTTTCTCTTTTCTGTCTATCAATCAAGCTAGATAATTATTAGAAATATGATATGCAGTAAAACGTGCCCCCTTTTTCATGTTTTAATGTGAAAGTATAGCAAAAAAAAAAAATCTAGTAGGGTGAGAATAGAGGCAGAGAGAGATGAAAACAAAAGTCAAATCAGTAGTGCCATCTAGTGGGAAATTGTAGCATGATCCTAAGAGTTTTATATGTTCTATATATTCTAAATAATTTGATATTATTACATCGGTGTTCCTAAATTCTAGTCTATATCCAATGAAGACAAAGATAGTGTGTTGTTGAATTAACACATTAGGAAGTGGCATAGCTTTTACAAAATGTTTTGCTCATTATATAACTAAATATCAATAGCCAAAACGTGCAGATACCTTAAATGTCAGCAGAAGAGAATTGTGAGGTTATAATCCCCTTTTGAGATAGCTTAGCTATAGAAGATAGCTTCTTCCAATATACCTTGGAAAACCAGCTCATGGAAGTGATCTAAGTTTTGTTTATTGTCTACTGAGTATAAACCTTGGTGTGAACTCCTAGAACAGAGAGACTGAGACAGTAACTTAAGGGCTAACATTTTTATTAGGGAACAGTTGAAGAGAAGAAGTAAGGAGAAAGAGTAAGGCAGAAAGATAAATACAGGAATGTTCACTGGCCCTCAGCAGGTGATTTGTTTTGGGAGAGACATAGATAAATAGATGTATACTTGCATGGCTAGTGCGATTTAACAAACTGACAAAATAGCATATGAATACTGAAAACAGAGCAACTTCTCAACTGAGAGGAAGTACAAGGCTTCACACAGCCAGGGACATAGGAGTTGAGAGTTTGTCAAATGAAAAGTTGGACACTTCCAGGCAAAATTAACTAAGTATGTGAGGTTTATGTGGCCAGGTTCCGGTTACCTCACATCTGTAATCCTAGTTACTCAAAAGGCTGATATCTGAGAACTTTAGTTCAGAGCCTACCCAGGCAGGAAAGACCTTGAGACTCATCTCCGATTAACCAACAAAAATCCAAAAGCGGAGCTGTGGCTCAAGTGGTAGAGTGCTAGCCTTAACCAGAAAAAAAAAAGCTCAAAGACAGTGCCAAGCCCTGAGTTAAAACCCCAGGACAGACACACATGTAGACACACACACAAAGTGTACAGTGTACAGTTAGGCACTTTATTTTTAAATTATTAGTATATATTAGTTATATGAAGTGTGGTGTTTCATTGTGATATTTCCTTACATGCAATAATATACTTTGATCATAGTTGCTCTATTATTTCTTCTTGTCCCTTCATCCCTCTCTTTTCGAAGTCAGGTATTATACTTGCAGTGTTGCTCTTTTTGATCAGTATTGCATTACCTATTTGTTTTGTGGCACCCATATGGATTTTTGGGTTGTTTTCTAATTTCTGAAGAGTGCATGGAATGTTGATGCATTGAAGCTGTAGAATTCTTTTGAGTATTATCATTTTCACCATATTGATTCTACATGAACATGAGCATGGGAAGTCTCTCCATCTTCTAATATCTTGTAATTTTCTTGTAGTTTTCATTGCAGAGGTTTATCACCTCCTTAGTTAAGTTTATTCCTAAGTATTTTTGAAACTATATTGAATGATGTTGCTTTCCTGATTTCTTTCTCAACATACATATTTTACATTGGTATGTAAAAAAGTTACTGATTGTGAGCCACAGGTTCACTTCCAACTTTTTGGCAATTGACTAGAATAAGAGTCTCAGAATTTTCCTACCCCAGCTATGTTTGAACTGTGGTCTTCGGATGTCAGTCTCCTGGGTAGCTAAGATTATACATATGACCCACTGGCACACTGCTGAAAAGTTACTGATTTTTATATGTAGGTTTGGGAAGATGTTTCCTGGTGGAGTGTGTGTGTGCATGCGTGTGTACACATGCATGCATGCGTGTGTGTGCATGTGCACATGCCCATGCCAATACTGAAACTTGAACTCATAGCTTCCCTTGCTCAGGTTTTTCATTCCTTGCTGCCATTTTACCACTTGAACCACACCTTCATTTCTGACTTTTTGCTAGTTAATTGGAGCTACGTCTCTTGAGTTTGTCTGCCCAAGCTGGCTTTGAACCTCAATTTTCAGATTTCAACCTCTTGAGGAGTTAAAATTATAAATGTGTGACACACTCATGCAGCCTTTAATGTCTTTTAAATATAGGATTCTATCATCTGCAGCTAGGGATAATTTGGTTTCTTGTTTTCCTATCCATAACTCTTATATTTCTTTGCTTTGATTAGTCTGGCTGTGAATTCAAGCACTATATTGAATAGGAGTAGGCACTCTTGTCTCATTCTTGATTTTACAGGAAATGGTTTCAGTTTTTCTCCATCTAGTACAATGTTGGCTATAGGTTTGTCATATATAACCTTTTAATTTATCTCAGCGTATTCCTTCTATTCCTACTTCCTTTCTTCCATCACGAAGAGATGTTAAATTTTGTCAAAGGCTTCTCATTCATCTCATTGAAGTAAGCCTGTGTTTTTCATTCAATTCTATTTATGGTGCTGTATTATATTGTTGATTTGCGTAAGGTGAACCATCATTGCATCCCTAGAATGAAATCAACTTGATCAGGGTGTGTGATCTATGTAATGTGTTGTTGAATTTGGTTTGTATTTTTTACATCTGTTTTCAATAAGGAACTTCAGCCAGGTACTTTAGAAGAATTACAAGTGATTCAGCATGCCAAATGTGTAGAGGTGAGAAGATGGTTTAGCTGAGTCCTTACCCAGACCACATGTACAAGTTAAGGCATGGTTTATCCATCTTCCAAAGAGCCAAAACAAAAAGAAGAAAGTCAAGTTAATGTCAAATGAGTCTGAGGTTTTAGAGTTGGGCCTCTGAAAATAACTGAGATGATTTGTCAATTTTCTCACAGAAGGAGACAAAGACAATATTTTGGACAGGAGAAAACTAATTTTCTTAAAATCCAACTGCTTACATGCGTAGCTTTGTCAGAGGCCAAGGAGTGATCCTAACTTCTCTTCAGGAGACTCCTACACCATGCCTCCACTTCAGAAGAGGGGCCTCATCAGTAGGAGGATGTCCAGAGCTTGCCTGGAGCTGGGAAGATGGAGCTAAAATAGTCCCTTTCTGAGTGTGGGGTTTTATGTTTTACGTTGAAAACCATGAACATATATAAAGGGAGGTGCTAGTATATGTAGATCAACAGAAGGGTTCAGAGAGGTTAAGAAATTGCTTCCCCAGTGTTATTTAGCTGGTAAGATAAAGCATTCAGATTCAGACAATCATATATGTTGTAAAACCTTAAATAATACAATGTACCTAAACTATCTAGTGGAATAACTAGCATTTAGTGCTGTCTGGATTGAAGGGCCTCATGTATTTTGTTGATACAAGTAGCCTCTTCAAGCCCTCTTTCTTCTGGCACTAGATTCTATTCCATTTATTATTTTAAAGAAGGCTATTACCCTTACATTTATAGGTGAACTAGCTTTTTTCTCCTCCCTCCCTCTGTCCCTCCCTCACTCCATCCCTCCCTCCCTCCCTCCCTTCCTCCCTCCCTCCCTCCCTCCCTTCCTTCCTTCCTTCCTTCCTTCCTTCCTTCCCGCTTCCTTCCTCTCTCTCTCTCTCTCTCTCCCTCTCCCCCCCCTCTTTCTCTTCTTGCATACATCCATGGGCTTAAACTTGGGGCCTGGGCATTGCCGCTGAACTTTTTGCTCAAGGCTATTGTTCCCCCCTTGAACCTCCTTGGAGCTAAGAATCTTATGGACTTAATGGCCCAGGCTGGTTTCAAATCACAATCTTCAGATCTCAGCCCGTGAGTAGCTAGAATTAATTACAGGTTTGACCCACCAGCGCTAGACTTCTTCCCTTTTTTTTTTTTTTTTTTGGTGGCTTACGGGGCTTGAACTTGGCCTGGGCCCTGTCCTTCAGCTCTTCAGCTCAAGGAAAGGGCTCTACCACTTGAGCCCAGGGCATTTCCGGTTTTCTGGTGGTTAATTGGAGGTATGAGTCTCATAGACTTTCCTGCCGGGTCTGGCTTTGAGCTATGATCCTCAGATCTCAGTTTCCTGAGTAGCTAGGATGTCCTGTGGCATTTTTTTTAAACACTGAATTCCAGTTGTTTCCTCTCTCCTGAAAAGATGAGTAGTACTTGCCTGAGTGTAGTGGCCACAGACTTTTGTGCACTTCCGAGTTGCGAAATCATAGTACTGGATTTCATTGTACCAGTTTGAGATGGCTGAAGACACTGAAAACAGGACTAGAGATCCGGTCCAGATATTTTCTCCCACTGATGTGAAGTTCAAGTTTGATTCCCGCTGTGGGTTGTGTTTAAACTGACAGTGTTTTGCCCATGCTTTTGCTGTTTGGGCTAGTGCCGGTTCCCAAGTCTGCAAAAATAATGATTAAGAATGGAATTTATTTTTTGACAATGTAATGGGGTAAGCAAGGCGGAGCAGGAGGATCACAAGTGCAGCAGACCTCACACCTAGGAAAAACCTTAGCCTTCTTGGTCGTCCCCTCCTCCTTCTGATTCTACGTTGCTGACTGAGCTGAAGGGACGGCGCGCAGGTTCACTCCACACACAGCACGCATGCCTCAACTTCCAGAGGAACCCCACTCTTGCGAGACCTACCAAGAATGTGAATCCCTTGACTTTGACGTAGGTAATAGGATCTTATACCTAGAAGCGCCTACACTAAAACCCTAGAAATAATAAAGTTCAGCAAAGTAGCAGGATATAAAATCAACACAAAATATCAGTTATTTTTCTATACACTAATGAACTGGCTGAGAAATCAGAAAACAACTCCTTCCCTTTCTCCCAGTACAATACTTAGGAATAAACCTAACTAAGGAGGAAAGAGACCTCTACAATGAAACAATGAAGAAACTGAAGATGACATTAGAAAATGGAAGGACCTCCCTAATACATTATGTTCATGTACTGGCAGAATTAATATTGTTATAATGTCCATACTACTGAGATTAAAAAAAAGCAATGTTGGAGGCATTACACCATCTAACTTAGACTATACTACTGAGCCATAGTAATTAAAACAGCACAGTAGTGGCATAAAAACATCATGTGCACCAGTCAGTGGAAGAGAGAGGGCTGAGCAATAAACCTATCTACAACCACCTGAATCTAGACTAAGATACTGTGAGTACACAATGGAGAAAAGACAGCCTCTTTACTATGGTGCTGGGGAAACTAGGTAGCCACATGTAGAAGAATAAAAGTAGAACTTTACCTATCCCCATGTACAAAAATAAACTTGAAAGGGGATCAAACATTACTGCATGACTTGGAACTTTGAGGCAACTAGAGGAAAACAGAAAGGAAACACTTCAAAATATAAGTATGGGCAGCAATTTTCTGAACAGAATTCCAATGTCTCAGGAAATAAGTTATAAAGTAGAATTAATAAATTAAAAGCTTCTACCTAATGACAAAAATATTACCAGAGTGAAGAGACACTATGGAATATTATACATACCCTAAGTATAGACCATAAAAGTACTATTAAACTACACAGAAGAATGAAATGATGTCATTTGCAGGAAAAGAGACAAAACTGGAGATTATCATGTTCAGCAAAAACAAGCCAGACTCAAAGCTAAGAATTCCATGTTTTCTTTAATAAGTAGTATCTAGAGAAAAATAAAGATGACCCAAGTAGAAGAGGGACTTCTAGGGAAGAGAAAGAGGACCAGAGAGAGAGATAAGAGGGGTAAAAGGTAAGTAAGAAGTATATAGTTTCAAAGTACATCATATACATGTGGGAACTTCGTGTATGTTGATATAATTTAGTATAAGTTTGGTAATACAAAATACTGGCTTATTTCATACCAGTATTTTGTACAAATATAAACTATTTCTACAAAACAAAAATCTCACAAATAATAACAGAGAAGCAAATGACAAAAAAGAGAAGTCTACCCATGACCAGAGAAAAGGAAGTACACAAAAAAGAAAATTAAAACTGTATAGCTTGCTTATGGCAAGCGTTAAGGTTAAGACTGAACGTGTTTGACTGCAGATGGTGATTTTACTGCTCACAATAATTAAAAGCAAAGCAAAATCATTTAGGATTACCAAGAATTTATCCCCAAAGTTCTAAATTTTCTTACCATGTATAGCATATTTGTAGCTGTTGGATTCACCTTTGACCGGAACTTGTTGTGAGCATGAACATATTCCTTGATGAAATCTTCATTGTCAATATCTGGCAAAGTAGTTACTGTATATGAAAACGTAGCGGTAAAAGAAAGAATATAGGCCATTGAAGCAAGTATGACCTGCATGCTCACTGCAGACGTCTAGCCTGAGGACTGGATTCCAGAGCTCTGGTTTTAAGAATGTGCTTGTTACTCTCAGAGTCTTCAGATTTTTATGCTAGGAATTGTACCTGAAGCCTTTCCATGCTGTGCAAATGCTCTCTATGTTCTCTCTCAGTTTTTCAGCTGTTTGCTTTATACAGCATAGCTGAGTTCAGCTTTGAGAAGATACAAAGCGGAAATGAGGTCATCAGAACTTTGAAGAAATGAGTTTTCTCCTTATATGTCATGCAGCTCCTGTTGCAATCTTAACCCTGCCCATCTAGTTTCTCAGTGACACATAGCACCTATTACAACATAAGATTGTTTTATGAGATTTGTCAGGATTTCTTTTTAGTTACAAGGTACAATATTCCAAAAGAAAATCTTGGAGTCTCCAGAAAGAAATAGTCTCTACTTTTAACATTGAAGTTGTGGTAAATAAATGTATAACTCTTACTTTCATAACAGACCTGGTAAAACCTTTTCTTAGCCACTACAGAGGCTAAGATCTGAGGATCATGGTTTGAAGCCAGGCTGGGTAGGAATGTTTGTCAGACTCTTACCTCCAATACATGAAAAAGCTGGAAATGGAGGTGTGGCTCAAGTGATAGAATGATAGTCTTGAGCAATAATGCTAAGGGACATTGTCCAGGCCCTGAATTAAAGCCCCAGTACTTGCACAAAACTAAAAGAATGCTTTAAAAAATTCCATAGAAAATAATGGCAGGAATATAGTCATCCATCCTTATCTGAATCTCCCCTTATCAGTGGATGCCTGAAACTATGGATAGTACTGAGCATAGGCTATATATATATATATATAATTTATATATATATATTTTTTATTTTTATATTTTTTATATTTTTATATCTTTTTTAGAGCGTATGTTATGGTATATATTGTATATATATATATATATAATTTATAATATAAATTATATGTAGTCAATGTATAATTATAAATTATAATTTATATATCAATTACATTTATATAATCAGCATTTTATGAGACTGACGTGCTGCCTACTGCGCTAAGGAGGCAAATATAATCAGCATTTTATAATTGGCATTTTCTGATGCCACTTATCTTAAGATAATTTCTATGACCAAGTTTAAAACTTCACTATAAATTTACATAGAATATACTCTGAATGAATTTACAGCACTAGTAGGTTAATGCCTCTGTTCTTAGACTGTTTTCGTGTTGCAGATTGTGCTTAGTAACTTGTGAGATAAACCTGTTCACCTGTTCACCTTCCCTACTTGCAAGTATCATACATTCTGAGGAGGAATACAAGCTACAAATAATCAAGGAGCATATAACATCAAATTAATGTTGACACTATTCAACTAGCTAAGTAGTTGTAGCTTAACTTCTCATTTCTGAGAAGGAAATTGCTCAAAACTGGTTCAGACCAAAGGAAATAGTGTGGTTTCACCAGTAATGTTTCTGTTTCCTTCGAACATCATAATTACCAGCTTCATAGCTTCTTTTATGTATCCTTATATAATTCTTATTCTATATATCCTTTTTGTATTCACTGATTCTCTTAAACTTCTCTAAACTCTTCATAGTATATTTGTTTATTCCTGATGTAGGTAATTTGTTTTCTCTTTTTTTCTTGATCAGTCTTAATAAAGTGGGTTATCACTTTTATGACTTCCATAAATGTAAGCAGGCACTGCTTACAAGGAAGGTTAAAAATGGTTGAAGGAATGTTAAAACCTCCTATTAAAACCAGAGCTAGAAACCTGAATGGGGAAGAGAAAAAATTTCTATCAGCTAGTATGCTTTGAGAAAAAATTTCTGTTGATGAGTAATTGTCAAACTAGCTCTGTTACATTTTGCATTTTCCTGTTTAGAGACTTACAGCCTATGCCTGCAATGTTAGAGATCACTTCTTATTGGGACATTTGTAGCTCTTGGGTCGTGGCTCTCCACTGGGTTACAGATGCTATGATCTCCTCCCATGCTACTCATTTTCTCAGGTTTCTGAATAAATCATTTTTTTATTTTTATATTTATTTTCAATCTGGTCACTTTGGTAAACAATTTGTGTTCTGTTTAAAGGCCCTTCTGACCATCTCTAGTTTCTTTTGGAATCTTGGATCTTAAACTTATTGGAGACCCCCCCCCATTACTTGGTATAGTCTGAGCTAGTATTATTTGAATGATTATCATAACTCCAAAGGAAGAGTAACTGGATCAGGGATTTTGATGTCCAAAAGGGTGATGGTTTCTCTTATTTCCAGTCTTCTTCCCAAAGTCCAGTCTCCTATATTATCCCCATGGAGTCAATACTGTTAAAAGATGTTCTTTTAGATTTGGTAGCTCCAAGTTTCCTCCTTTAAGATTTTTTTTTTTACTCATGAAAAACCAGCTAGGCCTTATACTCATAGCATGCCTATTTACAAAACTGTGGCTCTTTATTCCCAAGTTTGAGTCCAGAAATCAACTGCTATGGATGATTCCAGAATCGAGCACAAAGCAGCAAGAGCAAAAGTTTATTGGGAGGATAGAATAAAGCTCTTGAATGGGAGGGAAGAAAAGAGGAAGAAACCCCAGGACATGGTGTGCTCATAGTTTAAGGATTTATGTTCTGTGTTGGGGATGTGGATCTTATTTTCACATTTAAAGATCATCGGCATTGATTAATCAGTTTTTCTGTAACTGGGATAAGTCAGATGTCAGGTTGTTTCCTCTAGCAACATTTTATTTATCTAATCCTTCCTTAAGAACCTCTGTGTTTGTTTTCAACACAAGTATTTACAAATCAACTGTTTGTGAAACAGGACAAGGGTAGGGAAATCTTGCAAAACTTAGCCTCCTGGGTCTACAAAGCAGGATCCTGTTTTTCTTGAAAAACAGATAGTGTCTCAAGACCCATGACTCTTGGGGTAGGACAACTTCTCATTTGCATACTTTCCTGCTGCCTGCCTGCCTGCCTGCCTTCCTTCCTTCCTTCCTTCCTTCCTTTCTTCCTTCCTCCCTCCCTCCCCCTTTCTTTTCTTTCTTATCAAGCCCACCCATTTTCCTTTCACTAAAGATGGGTTCTGATATTGCTTATGACAGAAGCTGTCACTGCATTGCCAGTCCAACACCTTTTCTCTTGCCACTGCTTCTTTTTCTTAATATTAATTATTTTCTTGCCCTACGATCTGGATTGTATTGTTCATTGAGCCCACTATCCAGAAGTGCAGGGAAGCACAGGCAACTTTGAAGCTTTCTGGCTTACTTGTCCTTTAATATTTGTAGCTCATCTTTTAGGATTTATTTTTTCTCACAGAGGAGAGTTTAATCTCAAATTCTTTAACCAGACTTCTCCCCGCCCTCATACACACCACTACAATTAATTTTTGCCTCATCATCTTGCTAAAACTGTTTTAAGATATGACATATGTATGCTTTGACTTAAATGTCAATTACTGCTGGTGGGTCTGATTTAACTCTTTGGCCACACAGAAGCATGTGCTTTAGCTTTTCCTTCAAGAGCACTTGCCATGAAAAGTGCAGTCAGTTGACAGTTTCCAGCTGCAGGATCTTTGAAGTTTGTCATGGTATTTCAGCCAAAGCCACACATTTTCTAAGAAGCCCCACGCAGGGACTAAGCATGGGGTTGTACTAACATTTGCACAAAGACGTACTTCTCCCAATATGAAAGGTTTCCATGGAGACGTTTGTATCACAACTCCACCTTGTGTGGGCTGAGATTTTTCCAAGTTAGTTGTGCAATCTGAGCCTTTTCTTTTTTCTTCTTTTTATTTTCATAATTTAATGAAAAAGTATTGGTAAAAAGGTGACTTTGAAAACAGATTGTATTTATCTTGAAAAACCAGACTTTCTAAGATAAAAAATTAATAGAGGCAAGAGGTAATACTTCAAACAAAATGTAGCAAATGCAATCTGGGGCAGTTGAAATGTATACAATGGAATGCTCCTTCATTTATTTAGAAAAATGATGCAAAAATATTACTATATTTCCCTGATTGAAATTATATTTTCCCATGGCATTGCATATGGAAAGTGGCTGAAGTATATTGTTCCCATTTGCTTTCTCTTCCATGCACAGAAAATGGAAAGGCATGACAGGATGAATATAAAATCCTGTATTGGCCTCTAACACCAAGAGGCCTTTTCAATTCTCTTATAATTTTGTTACCATGAAAGTGTCAAATTTTTATGCACAGAAGCTTAGCAGGTGTAGGGGCAAGTTCTCTCCATTTTTCCATTCAAACGCTCTACATCACACGTCATGGCATATTCACACTTGTACATAGGCACAGAAGAAACATTTTGAAGACAGCCAAGCAACATGTAAAATATAGAAGTTTTTTTTTGGGGGGGGGTCCGGTCATGGGGCCTGAACTCTGGGCCTGGGCGCTGTCCCTCAGCTCTTCAGCTCAAGGCTAGCGCTCTACCACTTGAGCCACAGCGCCACTGCCGGCTTTTTTCTTTTTGCTTATGTGGTGCTGAGGAATCGAATCCAGGGCCTCAGGCATGCAAGGCAAGTGCTCTACCACTGAGCCACCTTCCCAGCCCAATCTGAGCCTTTTCAAATGGAATCTTCTGTCCTTCTAGCCACCCTGTGTGTGTGTGTGTGTGTGTATGTGTGATATGCATTATATATGTCTGAAATATTCCTTACTTTCTCTGACTTCTTTTGTCCCCCTAGCCCCCTCACACTGTGTGTGTGAATAAAACTTTCTTTATAAACCTCTGCAATATGAATGTTATATCATTTTCATATTTAAAACACATGGTATTTTTTATCATCTCAAAACATTTTTGGTACATGTTTAGATCCGTAGAAAAATTGTAAAGACAGTACAGTGTTTGTATATAACTGAATCTACTTTCCTGTTACTAATGTTAGCTTTAATGTGTTTCATAATTAACAAATGAATATTTGTACATTTTCACTAAAGTACATACTTTATTAATATTTTCTTAGCTTTTTTTGCCAGTACCAGGGTTTAAGCTCAGTCTTTTGTTGGCTTAAACAATTGTTATGCCATTCGAGCCATGTTTTCAGCCCAGCTTTTTGCTGTATTTTGTGTTGTTGCTGATTTATTTTGTGTTCTTGAGATAGATACATGCAGCCTTTTCCAGGCTGAGTTCAAACTCCAACGCTGATTTTCAAATCTTAGCTTCCTGAATAACTAGGATTACATCAACATCTAGCAGATTTTCTTACTTTTAAGCTAATATTCTTTTCCGTTCAAGGATATCATTCAGGGTACTGTAATTTAGTAGTCAGATTTCTAAGCTTAAACTACTGTTGTAATGTTTTCTCAGATTTCCTTGTTTATATGACTTTAATAGTTTTAAGTACTGGTCAGGATGATCTTTGAGATTCATTTTCTCCTTTTTAGGCTGCAAGTATGTGTCCTTGGGAAAAAAGCATCACTGAAGAGCCATTTTCACTATATCATATCAAGAATATGTACTATTAACTTGATCATCTAGCTGAGATCGTTTGCTAATTTTCTTCACTGTAAAAGTTTCTCTTCTTCCTATACCATAGTCATCAAACAAAAAAAATCTCTTATACTTTTCTTTCTTGCTATTGTCTAGCAGCAAGAAATTATGATCAGTTATTGGATGTAAGCCAGTTTTCATACCTGAGACACATTGATTGAAGAGGTGCCTGAGTCTCAGGAGAAAGCCTTAGTATATACTCAAAAGATTTCCTTAGGCTGGGCATAGGTGGCTCATGTCTGTAATCTTAGCTACTCGGGAGGCTGAGATCTGAGGATTGCGGTTCAAAGCCAGCCTGGGCAGGAAAGTCTGTGAGACTCTTATCTCCAATAAACCACTCAGAAAACAGAAAGTGGTATGTGGCTCAAGTGGTAGAGTGTTCGCCTTGAGCTGAAGAGCTGAGGAACAGCGCCCAGGCCCAGAGTTCAATCCATACAAACAACAACAACAAAAAAACCAAATAAACTAAAAATTGCTGCATCTGTATACTCTACTGCAAATAGGAAGGAATGAAAGAAGGAAGGAAGGATATAAAGAATGAAAGAGATAAGGAAGAAAGGGAAGAAGGGAGGGAGAGAGAGAAGAAAGAAGGAAGAAGGAAGGAGACAGAGCTCTTGATCATGTGTAATTGCCCATTACATGCTATAATTTGTCAGACCCATTAAGTCATGTGGTTAGAGAGGGCCTGCTACAATTTATCTGGAAAATGTTTATGGAACATCTAGGACCAAACCTAGGCAGGGTCGGAGGGCATACGTCAATGGCATGAGCAAATCATAATGATTTCTGTATCACTCAGCACAGTTGTACCAGTGCTCAGCTCTTAGTTCACACCTGTCACTATATGGTGAAGAGGTGCCAGGTCCATGAAAGGAAATGAAAATCAACTATCAGTTTATCAACTAGTTAACTTGAGATGTAGTGCAAGGTGACAATGGACAATAGTTGCATTGACTTCAAACTCAAGGGTAGCCTAGGAGAAGTAGATAGTTTCTTCAGGATGGATCTTTGGTACATTTGGTCATGTACTTTGTATAGAGACAGAAATAATCAGAGGTGGAAATAAATATTGGCTCAGTGACAAAGGCCTGGCCAGACTTAGGGATTTTGATGATGAGAAGATTAGAATAAGAGAGTCTGGGGCAGTCTATGAGGTTTGAGAGTGGGAGTGTGTATTTTTTATAGGTTAACACCCAGAAAAGTACTGAGTAATCAGTCATTTGACATCAGTGGATGCTTGTCCTTTGGCCACTCAGAATTTGTATGATAAGCAAATATTATTCAGAGGCCCATTTGCATGATTTTCAATTTCTCTAGGTAACTCTGCAAGCACAATCCACCACATGGAGATACATATGGACTCTTTCCATTCTATAAAAGTCTATGGTTCTTTCTCTTTGAAACTCAAACTTATTTTGGATATGGGTTTGACTTTCCTAAATTTAGATTCTTAGCCAGAACTATGTTGTATGGATTATTGCCTAAACCACAGGCCTAAAATAACATACAAGCTATCACCCAATCAGAGGCTTTACTTCACAGTGAAGGAGTTTCAGAACAGTCTGTTAGTAATGATGCATACTTACCATGTAGAAATTGGTAGCCTGATAAAAGTACTGGGATGGTTTCTTGATGGATTAGCTAAGAATCCCAAACTAAAGGCACATATATATATATATATATATATATATATATATATATATATATATATCAATAGCAATTCAGGGTGGAAGATAGGGTTGCTTAATTACTGTCATTCCCAGTGAGCCACTGTGTGCCTTTGTGCCCTGCAGGCTATTACACATTTATGTACTTAAACACAGTACACATATAATCTCACATATATGTACACATACATTTTGGAATAATTTCTGGACTGGTTAGTGCTACATAGAGCAGGCTACTGATGTCTACTGTTCCAACCACATGGGACAGATTAAGTGTAAGATTTTCTGTGTTGATGAGTTCTATGTAGTCTGTGTATTAAGAAAAATTTCACTAATACTCTCTGATTTTAAATATTTTTTAGAGATTCTAATACTATGTAGTATCACATTTTCCTCTGTTAGATGATATTTTGTGAATGCTTTTGACATTTCTGTGTTTTCAGGATACATAATTTGAATTTCTGTCACTCTGTCCTAACCCATCACTGCAAATCATCAGCAATATTATGTTGGATGATGCAGGACTTCATGGTTATATTAAGAAAATACAGGGTCTACTTCTGGCCTTGTCCAGCAAGTTCCTCCTCAATTGCTTTGTGCTGATTCAGCACATACACCTGTTTTGTCCTAGCCTCCCTGTGCATGCTCTTCGTTGCTACCTAGCATTATGGCTCACTGAAATGGGAAAGTGACATCTTATAGCAAATCAAACATTAAAAAATCTTTATGTGGTTTTATAGAATGCTGGAGTATTTAGTGGAAGTCTGAAGACATAATGGATCCCTAATATTTTGTTTGTATACTTTGTGTGTGTGTGTGTGTGTGTGTGTGTGTGTACTAGTACTGGTGCTTGAATTCAGGGTCCTATGCTCTCCCTTGGCTTTTTTGCTCAAGGTTGGTACTTAATCCGCACATGGAGATAAGTCTCAGAGACTTTGTGCCCTGGCTGGCTTTGAACAAAAATCCTCAGATCTCAGTCTCCTGAATACCCAGAATTATAGGTATGAACTACTGGTACCTGGCTAACTCTTAAATCCTTAGTTAAACCAAGGTTCAGCAGAAAACTAGCATGATTTCACAGTATTATCTATGGCCCCTTTTGTCCCAGTATTTTTCCCATACAGTTATCCATATTGGATATGGAGACCTTCTGTCATTTCCAATGCTGTCACTTCACAGCCAGGATATTGTAATTGTTGAATATAGACAAGGTACAGACATTGAGAGCATCCCAAAGGTTTTACTTATATAAAGGGCATATAAGAATGTTAGGATAGAGACAGACTAATGGAGTTCATGAGAGTATAAACATAGCAATGCTAGAACTATATTAAACCCTGTAAATTCACTTAAAGCATAGAGATGGAAACAAGTTTAGAAAAGGGAAATGTTCTTTTTTATTAAGCTATCTTAAAGATAATTAGGGTCAAATCTTTTTTTAAAAACTGTTCCCTATTATCACATCTTTGTGTACAGTGTCTAAAGAGCTTTTGCTGATACTTTCTATACATGTTTTAGGGTTTTTAATGTGTTCAAATTTAAATTATTTGAATAAGTATAGAGAACAAGAAACAAAAATACTGTCACCAGTGTTTGTATATATATATATTATTTTTTGTTAAAACTCAATGCTCTATTTTTAATTTTTTGCCTTCCTTTTTGTATTCTCTTTTGGCTTAAGTTTCTGATACATCTTCCTCCTTTTCTTCCTCTTCCTCTTCCTCTGACGATTTTCCTTCCTCTTGTTCTTCACCAATTTCCTGTTCCCCTTCTTTCTCCACTTCTTTTGTCTGTGTTTGTAGGGTCTTTTTCCTTCTTTCAGAGCCTTCAGGGGTAAATACCATCTGTCTTTCCAACAAGATATTTGGAAACTGAGGCTGTACTATGGTAACAATTAAGACACTTAGCAGAAAACACACTATTCTCAGTAATAAAATAAACACACACACTGGATTACACACAACTGGCCGGGGATCTTCCCAACTTGGATACCAAAATTGGTAATCTGTAAATAAAGAGAGCAATTGGAAGCTGGATTTCACAGAGAGTATTCATATTGTTCAAGAAATAAAGAACAATGATACATACATGTGGCTTGGTCACGATCGGCGTTACCTAGAAAGAAACAGAAAGTCTGTGAAGAATTACATAAAGTTTCCTTTTTCACTATTAATAAATTTCAAAACAGAGTGCACTGTTCTAGTGTTTAGGCCTCACGCCATCCTTTTCACTGTCCTTCCTTCTAATTAAGTAGTAGCCAATCATATAGTACAATGTAGTCTCTCTCCATATGCTGGCTGGCCAGCATATGGAAATTCAAAACTGAAGATCTAAGGAGATAAACATTCTCTTACTATTTTTTTGTCTCTAAATCATTGTGTCATCTAATGTAAGTCACTTCATTTCTACTCTTTAAAGATTGTTTCATTTGTGGAAAATAGAGGATTCTATAATCTCTCCTTTAAATTTTTTTATTGTAAAGTTGATGTATACAGGGGTTACAGTTACATAATTCAAGTATTGAGTAGACTTCTCTTTGAGCAGACATCTCTTCCCTCATTTTCTCCCCGGTTTTCCCCTCCCTGCCCCCCTCCTCCACAAGTTGTAGAGTTCAGTTTCAACATAGTCTATAATATCTCTTACTTTCATTATTTTCTCCTTTTAGATTACTCTAAATTAATATTGTGTTTCTCCTTGTTTTTCTTATTTAATTCTCAATTTTCAGAGGCTTTCAGCTGCTCTTTGAAGTTACTGGCCTGGCATTCATTGCTTTTAGCCATCTAGCTTAATGACATCATAATTCTGGAGAAGTAAGTTTCCTTTCATCTTCAAAGTTGGGCCAATAGGCTCAGATAGCTATTCCTAATTCCCACTAGGAGAGTAGAAAGATAAATGAGTTCACATACATAGACAACCTGAGTCAAAGGTCAAGCCAGAGGGCTTTGTCTTGTAATGAAAATACAGAACTTCAGGCACTATGGAGATAGTAAGCTTTTGGTTGGATCTCTGTGGCTATTTTTGCTTTTTTAAAAATGGAAAGACTTGGAAAAAATTATATTAAGTGAAGTAAGCCAGACCCAAAGAAACATAGGTCCCATGGTTTCCTTTACGTGCAATAACTAGTATATGTCTGAGACAAGCAGAAATGGTCAGATAAGTTGATGTTAGGCGAAATGAGCCCCAAGATAAGGACTCAAATGGTTTTTCTTTCTTGCTATTGTTTCTAACATATGTATAAGATGATTTCTTTGTTACTTTGTATGTCCCACCTCCACGGTAAAATATTTTCTTGTATATATAGTGATGTATAGAGGGGTTACAGTTACATAAGTCAGGTCATGAGTACATTTCTTTTGAACAGTCTCACTCTCTCCCTCATTTTTATCCCCAGTTTTTCCCCTCCCAATCTATCATCTTCCCCAACTTGTATAGTTCATTTCCAACATAGTATCTAATGAGTGGGTCTTATTTCATACCTTTTGCTTTATTTTATACCTTAAGCAACAATTTCTGCATTACAGCTCCTTTATAAAAATAATGATTATCTACAGTCCAATCTGCATTTTGTTTTCATTTTGTATATGGGTATCTATTTGATTCTTTGGCGTATGCAATTTTGTAATTGCACTTTTTTTCTTTTCTCTTTTTTGCTGGTCCTAGAGCTTGACCTCTGGGCCTGTGTGTAGTCTTGAGTTTTTGTGCCCAAGGCTAGTGCTCTTTTTTTAAATTGTAAATTTTGTGTCCTAATTTTCAAGTTTCTTTCTTTCTTTCTTTCTTTCTTTCTTTCTTTCTTTCTTTCTTTCTTTCTTTCTTTCTTTCTTTCTTTCTTTCTTTCTTTCTTTCTTTCTTTCTTTCTACCACTTGAGCCACAGTGCTACTTTCTGTTTTCTAGTGGTTTATTGGAGATAAGAGTCTCACAGACTTTCCTGCTTGGGCTGGCTTTGAACCGTGATCCTCGAATCTCAGCCTCCTGAGTAGGTAGTATTATAGGCGTGAGCCACCAGGGCACGGCTATCAAGTTTTTTAAAAAATACTTTAAAGTAGCTGTATGAATGAGTTGCCATTTAACAGTTTATGAATTTAAGCAGCTTATGAATACAATATATCTTGATCAATGTTACCTATAATATTTCTTCTTTCTTTCAATTCTCACCCTAATGTTTGATTACATTGCATTTCATCAAATATTTAAATACCTTTAAATTTACTTATATCTGTCATATCACTTGTTAGTTTTAATCAGTAACTTTTTCTGATAAGGAAATAGCATTGATATCACTCTTGTTCTCTCAGTTTTTATTAATTGTGTCTCTTTTATATTTGCCTATCCTGGCTTGAACTCAGGGCCTGGGCGGTATCCCTGGGCTTTTGTGCTCAAGCTAGTGCTCTTCCACTTGAGCCACAGCTCTACTTCCAGCTTTTTGTGGTTAATTTGAAGCCAGCCTACCTAGACTACCCCAGTCTTCACATCCCAACCTCTTGAGTAGCTAAGATTGCCAAAATATACCTTCCTTGCATTTTGTTTTGTAACTCTAATCATTGATTGGTTTTAGTTTGCCAACTAAGGTTCATTACTTTCAAGTATTTCTTGAACTGCAGTTTTTCCATTCTTCTTTGGTAGAGGGCATCTTCCAAGGTTTATTGATATGTCTAAGACATTCATAAACTGTCTAATAAATGATTTTAATTTTGCTTATATGCAAATGGCTCGAAGAGAAAGTGTGGCTCAAAATATAGAGCCCCAGCTGTAGGTGGAAACACAAAGCTGAGGGCTATAAGCTCAGAGTTCAAGCCCCAGTTCTGATAAAACAGCCCCTTTTCTTCCCCTCAAAAGTATTACTTTACTTTTGTCTCTTCGCAAGCCTACTGGAATAACCTGTTTTTGAAGCAACTATTGTCAAATTGATTGCTATGTGAGGAATTACTGTGAAGCTTTTTCAAGGTATAACTGTTCTCATTCCTTATTTGTGGTATTTTTGCGGGCATGGATGTAAAAGAGAGAAGAAAAGGCTCTGAAGTATAGAAAAATCTAAAGATAATATGGTTTAAACGCTCCTTTGTTAAAGTAATAATAACATTAGAATCAGAGGAAAAATACTAATATCACAATAAAACCCTAGTGTTCAATTGTTTTACTGGTTGTCTTATGTATTATGGATTATTTTGACTTTTAATTTATATCCTATATCTTACTGCAGAGACGGTCTGTGCATTTGTCACGAATGCCACATCGAGTACAAAATACTCCTTCTTGATAAGGCCTTCTGGTTAGAGTTCCTCTACAAAAAAAATTTCAAATAATAGTTAGGTAAACACTCATTTTTAAACATTATTTAAACATTGTAGTGTTGTTGGAAATAGTGATTGTCCATTTTCAAGACAAAGCATCTGACCCAGAGTGGAAAGTTACTAGCAGCTTGCTTAAACAATGACTTAAAGGCTTGCTGTTGTGGCAATCACAAAGTCTATGCATCTGGAAGGTCCTTAAGAAAACAGGGTAGACAAAGAAGCTGTTAAAAGGGGATTGACTAGCAGAGGAAATGGTGGACCACAATAAAATCAGAAAGAAAAAAACTATGTTTCTGCCAAAAAGTACATGCCAGAAAAGCCTTCCTGCCACAAGAGAACCAAGGCAAGTAGAGATAACCAAAATCTGCTTCTAAAATTCAACCAATCCAAGAGGTGCACATGTTAAAACTTCCCAATAGAAAATAATGGAATTAGGTGATGTTCAGGAAGACTGTGCACCACAGTACTAAGCCACTGAGGAGCCTGGTGGAGGAGCTTGCTCATTCAGTATGCAACTGCTTGTTGTAATCCCTGCCCACCAGACACCTCGTCCTGCAAGACTGCCATTGACCTCTGACATTTCACATTCACTGTACTTCTTGTCTCTGAGTCCATTTTTCTGAGTTTGGTTTGGTGAGTGCATTATCAATTTATTAACTATTTTCACAGATATCAATTATAAATAGTTTAAGAAGTGGTTTAATTAAGAAAGCTGTTGCAAAGAAGCAGTTAAGTTAGAAATACAATCTTTCTGTCTTCCCCATTGCCAAAATATGTTCCTTCTGAAACCTAATCCTGTGTGTTTGAAACAGAATACTTTAAATATAAGAATGAATTTTAAAGCTTCTTTTGTTTCAGTATTTAGCAACATATGTACATTTAAATTGGGTATTATAGAATGTTTTGTAATAATTGTCCCAAAGACCAACTCCATGAATTACTTTGGATACTACATGAAAAAAATACATATATAGACATATAACCAACTTAGTTTACCACACATGAGAAATCGTTTTATATCAGTTGCTGAGAACTAAAAAAGGAAGAAAGGGCATAAGTAGATATGAATTGCAAAGTTTATACAAAGAATGTAGGTAGATTAAGGCAGATAGAAATAATATGTAGGGAAAAGATAATTCTGGATAGAAGGGAGAGTCTTAGTCCGGCACATTTAAACAGGATTATTAGTTTTACTTAGCAGACAGTTAGAGGTAATAGAAATAAACAGTAGGCATGTAAGTCCCCAGTAGGCTATTGTAGACCATCTAGAAGAATGTTCAAATCTAAGAAATACTCAAAAATTCTGAACCATTCTTTGTTTAACCAAAGTTCTGGTGATGCCTTTGGTGATACTACAGCAAAAACATCCAGAAATTTATCATTCTTGGCAGGTGTTACCTGTTCTCTAATTTCACTGTTCTAATATCAAAATATTTCAAGAAGGAAATGTATTTTGTTGAGAACCCAGCAGAACACCAGTCTTCTAGAAACTGAAGCATTAATCTAGTTAAATCTAGTGACCTTCACGTAAACTTTAATCTATTTTCCCTATCTTAACCCTGTATCACTACAACTGTTGCCTCCAATGGACACAAAACAAAGCAAAACTTGTCCTCTCCTAAGACTCAGGGATGGGAGACCTTTCCCTTTTATGTATGTAAAAAGCTACTCACTATAAGCACTGCCTTTGAGGCCTGGAGCATAGGTAAGCCACCCTGTGATCAGAATGTCTGATAACTGTAGTCTGGAAAAACTCTGGAAAGGCAAACAAACAAATAAATCATACTGTGCTAGAATACAATTTGTTCCGTTTTTCAAAATTTGAATTTTTCATAATTATTACTTAAATAGCCAGAAATGCCAGGCTAATTCTCTTTCTTTGCCAGTCTTTGCTAGTTCTGAGTTTCTAAGAAATTAAATCAACTCAAGTTTGAATCCACAGTACAATGAACAACTGCAATTGGAGTTATCAAGCTGGATTGGGAGCAAACTATTACATATCTGTAACTAGCAAAGTCCACTGAAATTTCACAGCTGTCTTATCAGTGCCTGAAGGAACATATAAAATATTTTATCCTTGAGCATTTCCATTTTTCTAAGAAGCAGCTTAGTGATTCACCAAGAGCTACTCAAGACTCTGAACATAGCCCGCTAAAACATTTCTTAGCCTTTTGTCTGGCCATACCTTCAATACGTTGCCATCTTCAGAACATGAGTCCTGACTTTAGATCAGGACACACGGCTTGGGTGGCCTAAGAAACAGCTGCACCTACGTCTTACCTCAAGTCCATTAGAAAGGCACTATGCACTATGCAGACACAATTCTAGTAGAGACTTTCTTTGCTTACAGTAGACCCATATCTGCTTCCAACTTATGATGACTTCAAGGCTCTTTCCTCCCTTGACATTCTAGCAATTACAATTTATGGGAGGAATGCTCACAGTTTTCCATCTAGACTTAAATATTCTACTCATTATCCATGCAACAATAATCAAAATATACCAAACAAATGTTGATTTTTCTATTTCATACCAAGCAACTAGACTGCCCACAACTCTTTTCATTTTCATTATTCCATATTATCACTGTGAAATATCAAGGCAATGGTTCCTGGTTTATATCACAAAGTCTTGGCTTTCCAAGAAGACTTAAAAGAATATATTCTAATAAGATGAAGGAAATAAGAAGGTAATGTATAGTTAGATCTTCTACATAAAATATAGTTGTCCTTAAAAAAATCACACACACTCCATGACTGTTTCCTGGACTTATTCAAAGTCAATCTAAGTTTTTTTTCTGGATGGCTAGATCTATTTTATACTCCTAGTCTGTATTTGTTTCTCTTGTGGATATTTTAACAAAGTGTCACAAATGGGATCGTTTAAAACTTTAAAAAATGTATTTATTTCCTCATAGTTGTGGAAGCTAAAGTACAAAATCAAAAGTGACAGGACCATGGTCCCTTCAAAGACTCTAAAAGAGGACCTGTTTCTTGACTTTTCTGGCTTCTGGTGCCTTTAGGAATTTCTTGGCTTGTGGTTGCATCACTCCAATATCTTCTTTATATGCATACGGCCTCTTCTTCTGTGTATTTAAGGTTGAACCTCCTTCTCCTTCTGTCTCATAAGAGACCTGTGATTGTATGTAGTGCTCATCTGCATAGTCCAGGACAAGCCCTTTCTCTCATGTCTTGGGAAAAAATCACTGTCTTGGGGAAAAAATGACACTCACGTGTTCTGAGGGTATTGAATGAGGAATGAAAGGATGAGGACCTAGATGTATCTTTCAGATTTGCACAGGGTCGGGAGTGGGGGTGGAATGGGGGACCACCATTCAGCCAATGATATAATCTTACTATATTTTTGTAACTATTAAGGCTTAAATTCAGGGCCTTGTACTTGCAATAGGAGTAGCTCTACCACTTATGCAGGACCAGTAAGCTCTTTTTGTGCTTTAGATATTTTCACTTAGTGGTCTAGGCTGGCTTTGGACCACCATCTTCCCATTGTAGGTGGGATTACAGGAGTAAGTCATTGTGCTTGCATACTACACATTTTATTTTTTAGTTTGGCTTTCTTATTTTAACTTTTACGCTATTTCATAATGCTAGTGCTTTCCCTTAGCTTTTCACTCAGTGTGAGCATTATACCACTTGAGCCACACATCCATTTCTAGCTTTTTGCAGAATAATCGGAGCTAAGAGTCTCCTTGACTTTTCTGCCCAGCCTGATTTCAAATCATTATCTCAGCCTCCTTAGTAGCTGGGATTATGTGTGGGAACCGCCCACTCCTGGATCTACTACTTAATTTCTAAATTAAATATCCATGTTTACTCTCTCTAGCAGAAGACACCCATATTCAGGACTGTGGCAAATCTTTCTACCTCGGGTCCTTCATACCAGCAATTCCCTCTACTTAGAAAAATATGGCAGACCTTCCTAGGACTATCTCCTTCTTACATTACTATCCTTATATTCTACCTGATATGTCGACACATAAAGAATATCTCCTGATTTTTCCTGTTAGAGGTCATGGTATTATCATTCACTCAGGTTTTCAGAGGAAAGACATAGGCACAGTGTGGTTTCATTATTTTATTCTACTTAACTTTAAAGTCATATTACATCAACTGGTATTATTAGATCACTTTCCTAAATATACTTAGAGACTAGACTCTCCTCAAAGTTAAGATACTATGATAGTCAGAATTCTAAGAAGGATAAAAAGAATCTTCATCTTCCACTTACATACCATGCCTAAAATCTCAAGACACTAAATATGGTTTTGTTCCATGATTATGTTATAAGGCAGAGTTGATCTTAAAATACTGAGTTTATCCAGGTGGGCTTGATCCACTAGTTGGGCATTTTAAAAGCAAAGTTTTCTTTGGCTGATTAAAGAAGTGAAATGTTATCTACATGAGAAGATTCTGACATGTCTACTGAAGATGGGGGGTGCGGTGCGGGCGGGGGAGACAAATAGGTGAAAGGGAGTATGTCGAGGAATATAGAGAGGCTTTAGAAGATGAGTACATTGCCTAGCTGACATCAAGCAAGGAAATAGAATTGAGTTTGCTTAAGCAAACTCCCTGCCTCCTCCAGTCTCTATATGAGAGCTCAGTTGACAGATGGATTTTGGCCTTTGAGGCCCTTTTATGGTGAATCCAGTCATACTGTGCCTGAACTTATGACCTATATAATTGTGATAATAAAGGGAGTACTGTTTTAAATATTTTTCTTTCTTTCTTTCCCTTCTCCTCCCTTCCTCCCTTCCTCCCTCCCTCCCTCCCTCCCTCCCTCCCTCCCTTCCTTCCTTCCTTCCTTCCTTCCTTCCTTCCTTCCTTCCTTCCTTCCTTCCTTCCTTCCTTCCTTCCTTCCCTTCCCTTCCCTCCTTCCCTTCCCTTCCCTCCTTCCTTCCTTCCATTTTCTTATTGTTATTATAAAGGTTATGTACAGAGAGGTTACAGTTATGTAAGTCAGGTGATGAGTACATTTCTTTTTGGACAATGTCACTCCTGCCCTCGTTCTCTCCTGGTTTTCCCCTCCCATCCTCACCCCACAATTTGTATAGTTCATTTTCAACATAGTGTCTAGTGAGTACCACTGCTGCATTTGGTCACCCTGGTGGCAATTCTTTGCAACAGTAGAAAAACAATGCACATACCAATGCCCTACCCCAATAGGAGTCTGTGATTTAAATGATAGCTACAACCCCCTAATTCTACTTTCTCATTGTACTCTCTTTCTTCATATTGCATGCCCTACACAATGTCCAGAGTATTCGGGGTTTTCAAATGAGATTTGGTTATTCAAGTCAGTTTGTCCAGTGGTTTTGTCATTGTCCAGAATAAATTCCCAAATCTTTAACAAGAACCCCCAATAGAATTTAGAATTACTAGTTGATTTGGGTGTCACTTAAATGTCTACCTCAACTCTTGCCTCTAACTGCAATTTATTCTTTTTTCTTTACCATCTTACTACTTGGCTTTCAACTAATCTCCTTCTATGACTACCCTGTCATTCTTCCATATAAGTTATTCCTTATTTGTTTTTCCTGCTTGGTGGCACACTGTACTATTTAATTAAAATATTATCTTGTGTACTGCAACTAAAATAAAGCCTACATTAAAAAAATAAAATATTATCTACTTATGTGTTTACTTACTGTCAAGTATTTATCTCCTGCTGTGGAAAATAAAATCAGTGGTGGTCCACATGGAAGACAAGGTATCTGACCCTGAGTGAAAAATTAATGGCTGACTGGTACCCTTAGAAATTCCCTAAACAGAACAGACAGGGGACCAGAAAGGGGAAGGGGTTCAACCAGCGGGGAGAAGAGTGGACTGAAATAAAATGAGAAACTGAGTAAAACTGGAAAGCAGATACTTAGGTGAACCTGCCTGCCACAAGAGAACAGAGAGAGGTGAAGACACAACTCTCCTGAAATGGAACCAACCCCAAAAGGTTTACACACACACACACACACACATATTACCCAAAATAAAATAATGAAACTTAGATGATGTCCAAGAAGACTGCACACCCCATAGTACTCAACTAATGAAGCATGGGGAAGGGATCTGCAACTTAGGAAAGTGATTTCTTGTTACAGTTTCTTGAGGGCATGCCTGCCCAGCAGACACACAGTCTTTGGAGACCAGCATATAAGGCTCAGTTCTGCTGTACTTCCTGTCTCTGAGTCCATCCTTTGGGCTTGGATGGGGGTTTCTTATACCTGCCAAACCTGTAAACTAAATGCAGCCAGTTTTCCATCAGAAAGTTGTTGGTTTTTTAAAATTTTTTTTACAGAGTTTATCTTATATCACAGTTCCATTATTTTCCCCATCCAGGGAAATCCAATGTGTAAATGAGTTTGTTTTTCTTTTTGGTTTAGTTCCAAAGCATTTGTGTGAGGGGGAGCCACGGGTGTGGGGGGTGGGGTGGGGGAGCAGAGATTCTTATTTTGGGGGAAGGGGTCCGGTCTTGGGGCCTGAACTCTGGGCCTGGGCACTGTCCATCAGCTCTTCAGCTCAAGGCTAGCGCTCTACCACTTGAGCCACAGCGCCACTTCCAGTTTTTTTCTTTTTGCTTATGTGGTGCTGAGGAATCAAACCTAGGGCCTCATGCATGTGAGGCAAGTGCTCTACCACTGAGCTACCTTCCCAGCCCCGTCTTTTTCAATTGTAGTACATAATGAAGTTTTAATTTTTACTTGAGATGTTAATTGGAATGTTTTTCACTCAGTTGGAGGTTATAATGACATTATTTATGGTAGTATAATGACCTGTAAGTCACTTTACAATCACTATGGGCTCCAGAAAAAGTAGGATTCACTGATAAGTATTTTGGGACGAAAAGCAAACTTTTCCGCAAACAGATTGTTTCATCTTACCATATGAAAAGAAAACAGCTAAAACAATCAGAAATCTACTTGCCAGGCAACTTTTTCCTGTTTGGTTATAGTGATAACCTTATCCCCTCCAGGGTAAGGGCTGAGCTACTGGTGGACCCGGGCCATGCCTGTGATAGGGAACTCCTTTCTGACCTTCTGCCTCCATTTAACCTGAAACTCTAGGTTCTCTCCCTGTTGAACCTGAAGCTAATATCTCTCCCCCTGAAGATGGCTAAGATTTAATGAAGTGCTATCTCCTCAATGGCTATGATGTAATAAATCTTCTTTCTCTGAGTGTCACCATATTGTCAGTTGGCATATAGAGGCAAGTGGCTAGACCTAATGTGGGATCCTAGATGTTGGACCTAGGGTTAACAAACCTAGTTTCACTGTAAGTAAGATCAATATGCTTAAGTTATGATTTATTTCATTAAGGAATTGAAAAACTATGTCAAGATAAAGCCTCCAGTTAAGACCTCTTATTTAATGCCTTTATACAGCACAAAACACTCAAAATATATTAGAAGTTAGGAAAACAAATTTGAAGTAATATCGATTTATTTTTCTATTCTTTTTTTTATCAATTTAAATAACTTACCCTGGTGCATAATTGCATATGAAAAGTGCTGCATGCACAATATTTCCAATTCTTGGACATGGGGTAACAGCACAACCAACTTTGTAAGACTTGTCCCAAACAAGCTAAAACAGAAGTTTCAAAATAAAATACAAAATTTAATTGTAACAAAATCCATACAGAAATCCACATAGAAAATTTTTTTACCCAGCCAGGGCCCCATACATGCCAGGCAAGCACTCTACTACTGAGCTAAATTCCTAACTCACATTTGTTATTTCTAGTTTCAATATATTGTTCTATTTCTTTAAGAATCAAACTTTTTTGTTGCTGTTGTTGGTCATGGGGCCTGAACTCTGGGCCTGGGTGCTGGCCCTCAGTTCTTCAGCTCAAGGCTAGCGGTCTTCCACTTGAGCCACAGCACCACTTGCGGTTTTTTTCTTTTTGCTTATGTGGTGCTGAGGAATCGAACCCAGGGCCTTATACCCTGGGTTATGCCACCTTCCCAGCCAAGAATCAAACTTTTAAAATCAGTACGATTTGAGATAAATTAAAAAAAATCTTTAGAAATGGTTCTCTTCTTCAGAGATTGCCAAAACAAAGTAAGTATTTTTGTTTATGTGATATGCTAAAGATATTAAAGTTAATACAGAAAACGAATGGAATGTCTTTTATCAAGTTCTCATCTTTTTTATTCTAATTCAGGTTCTGGTTTTCCTTAAGACACTAAATCTTTTCTCCTTAATCTTTTCTTCCTAACAAAATCCCTAGTATTGAAAAAGATAAAAACAAAAGATGTAAGAGCTGAAATGAAGTCAACTGGGTCAATGCAAGAATAAAGAATGGATTGGAGATTAGAATTAAGGAACAGCAAATTCAGAGTCCAGTAACAGGTCATGGAATAGATTTATTTTCTAAGAACATTGTTATATTAAAAAGTCTCATGTATATAAGTGGTCAGTAAAACACAGGGCCTCAAGCTTGGTACCCAAGTACTCCACCACTTGAGCGATACTCTTTGTTTTCATTTTGGTTTTGACATAGGATCTAACTTTGCCAATCTCCTTGAACTTGCAATCCTCTTGCTTCTGTCTCCTAAGAAGTGAGGCTTATAAGTATGAACCAACACACAGAGCTAGAGATTCTAACTTTGATACGTTAGACAAAGGAGAGTTACTAATTCTAGAATAAGAAAGACTTGACCAAGTAAGAGTGAAAGAGCAGGGCATAGCAGTGTACTCCTATAATCCAGTGTTCAAAAAGCTGAATACAACCTGGGCTACACAGTTAGCCCCGGTCTCAAAAGGATTCTGAGAAACACAGAAAAAAATGGGTTAGAAGTTTCTTAAAGGATCATATGTTTCATGGAAAAGAACGGTATGAGTTCATGGTGAATAAATACAAAAATTTTAAGTTTTACATAAAACCTAAAATCAGTCTATTGACTGAAAAGCAGTCAGGCTTTAAATTAGAAGTTCACTCATTCAAAATTTCTTGATTTCTGATAAAAATATTTACTGAAGACCTAAATAAAAAAAATGTCTTGTAGTATTGAGAACATGTGGATGAGAGGACAAGGTCTCTGCTTTCAGTGTTGTAGAATACATATATGTATATATAGTAAATATGTAGGTAACAATTAAAGTGTGATATGTGAAATAAATGTGTCTGAAGGAAATGAAAAGTGGTCCAGTACTCTGGGAGTATAAGGTGTGAGGGTGGAACATGAATCAAAAAAGGATACTGTTTGCATTTGCAGCTACAAATTTGTAGCTACAATCAGCTACAAAGCAGTATGCATACTGATCTGTACAAAGTCTTTTATTTTTGTTTATGGGCAATAATATGTAAATAATTTTTGTCTACTAGAATCTTATTTCCTTTTCCTACTATGCTCTATTTTGAGAAAAGTCCCTTTGATGTTAGGGTATAAGGTTTATGATTTAGTTGTATAGTTTAACATGACAGATAAAATTGTGAATATTTTCAAGATACAGAGCTACTTATAATTTCGATTTTGCTGAAAGTAGTGATTTTAGATCTTGAATATATTTATAAATTTGAAACAAAAACTAGGGCAGTAAAGCAGTTAAGAATTCTCTTATATAGAGTAACAATATAAAAAGCAGATACCTGAACGTAATGAGAACAGTTACCAGAGCAATTGTCATTTTCAAAATTATAAATTTTCCTCTCTTCAAACCAACTTCTGATGGCAATACTTGCAGTAAACTCATTTTCAGGGCCAACCCACATATTTTCACCAATACCGTTAAATACAGGGTGGGACATTTGTATGTCTTCTAAATGAGTATTTCGTTTAAACACACATTTTTTCCCCCAGGCTCTAGCAGTTCGTGATAAAGCTACATCCCAGGTCTGAAAAACATAAAATAATAATAATGACAATATATATATAAAATATACACATATATGTATATATATATACATATATAACAACAATAATAAGAGAAACAAAATAATAACAAACTTTTCTGGGCTCTGAATTGTATTTCTAGAGTTCTGTAGTTTATGGGGAAAAACTTTTTGGAGATAATCATAGGAACTATTTCCTGAGACAAAGACAATGCATATTTATTTGTAATTGAAGTATTAAATTGACAGACAATGCAAGTTATTGTAATAATTTTGCATGACAAACGCTTAGAATTATATAACAAATGTCCTTACATATACTCTTCTTAGAATATATTTTAATCTCATGCCTTTTTAATAATATAGCTTAGTAATATAAAAATTTTATATATTCATCTAAGAACTATTTTTGAGAACTCATACATAACATATTGTGTTTTCAGAAATAAAATGAGAAGTTGGCAAAAAACAGTATACTGTTAGGAGAAAAAGATACTACATATATATGTATATAACTTAAATATATGTTGGTAAATTGATAAAGCTGACACCTAAAAACCTTCATGGGAATTCTCAGAGATGCTAAAAAAATACCCTTAGATGCTACTATTCCCTAGAAAGCTATCTGTAAAGGATCATTAAAGTTGCTGTTTAGTTAAAAATAGCACATTAGTCAAAAATATTTGTTAAAATAAAAATTCCAAATGGTTACAATCCTAAGTAACAGTTAACTGTTATCGAAAAATTAACATGTCTGAGGTAATCTCAGAGTTTTCTTACTTAACTCCAGACATTGCACAAATGCAAAGGGGACATTGCTATGAGAAAAGCAGCATCAACTAAAAGGACACTGCACAATAAGTTAAGAAGTTTCCAGCCTGCCACAAGCAGTGTGTGTCCCCCCCCCCACCATCTCCCCCTCCCCCCAGAGCGCTCCCTTCCTGCTCCACCCAAAAGAATGTCCAGAAGATGAATGTTCTGTCCAGGATTTAGAGAATGAATTCTCACTTGAAGAAAAGTACTAGGGAAACATTTCCAGTTTAGGAAGTATTTTACCAAAAGGAGTCTGGGACGCAAATGCAGCTCTCTAGAGTAAACAGGATTTTTAAGTGCCAGATCTATTCCCACTGTGCTTCAACAGACTGTTGTCAGAGGCACTGGCACAGGAGTCAGACTCACCAATGGATCCCCGATCAATCAGTCAGGAGTGAACGCAAAGGCTTCAGAGGTGTGCACCTGGGGTCCTGGATGAGAGGTCCGGGGGTCCAATGATGAATCTGATCCTATCTGCACCACAGCTCCATAACTGTTAGAGAAAAATAATTCATGACACTTATTAACACAGTAAGGAAGACTTTATTCAAACTTGTTATAGGTGCCAATAATAAGGTAGAGGGGGCTGGGAAGGTGGCTCAGTGGTAGAGTGCTTGCCTTGCATGCATGAGGCCCTGGGTTCGATTCCCCAGCACCACATAAGCAAAAAGAAAAAAAGCTGGAAGAGGCGCTGTTGCTCAAGTGGTAGAGCGCTAGCCTTGAGCTGAAGAGCTAAGGGACAGCGCCCAGGCCCAGAGTTCAGGTCCCACAACAGGACTCCCTCCCTCCCACCCCCCACCCCCCAAAAAAATAAGGTAGAGGAGATTTGGCTCAAAGACAAATATAGCAAGGAAAGTGGAATTTATGCTAATGCAAGAGGATGTCAGCAGATAGAATATTACTAAGAGGAGACATCAAGGCCTGTGGTGCGATTGATAAAAAACACACGAAGAATTATCCTTGATGGCAGGCCAGAGCAATAAAAAAACCAAGGATATGGTATTCTCTGTAAACTGGAATATGTGGGATTTTTACTAAAGCTTGTCAGGCCAGAGAAAATTCAAATAACTAAAGTCATAAATAGAAGAGGAGACATTAATATTGGTCTTATAGAAACAAAAAGAAGCATAATCAAGAAGATGCTGGAGAGGATGTGGCCAAAGAGGAACGCTACTGCATTGTTGGTGGGAATGTAAACTTGTTCAACCACTTTGGAAAACAGTATGGAGGTTCCTTAAAAGACTCCACATAGAGCTGCTCCCCTATGACCCAGCAATCCCACTTTTGGGCATTTACCCAAATGATCACAAACAAGACCATACTAAAGCTACCAACACAACTATGTTTATTGCCGCATTATTTACCATAGCTAAGATATGGAACCAACCCAGATGCCCCTCAGTAGATGAGTGGATCAAAAAATGTGATTATATATATATACACACACACACACACACACACACACACACACACACAATGGAATTCTATGCCTCCATCAGAAAGAATGACATTGCCCCATTTGTTAGGAAATAGAGAGACTTGGAAAAAAATTATATTAAGTGAAGTAAGCCAGGCCCAAAGAAACATAGGTCCCATGGTTTCCCTTATTTGCAATAACTCATATATGTCTGGGACAAGCAGGAAAGGTAAAAAACTATGTACATATGACCAGATAAGATGATGTTAAACAAAATGAACCCCAAGATAGGGACATGTGTTTTTTTTCTTTCTTGCTACTGTTTCTAATGTATTTATAATGTACCATGTGATTCTTTTTGTTTTTTTATATGTTCCTCCCACACAGTATAACCCCTGTTTTCACTGTATGTGAGGTCTGTGACCTGCATCTTGTATATACACTTCTCTAATTTGGGGAGGGGAAGGAAAAACAAAATGTTTAACTAGGGATACAGGTTGACCCATTAGTACAATGAGATGTACAAGACACTATGCTGAAAAACGAACTTTACAACTTAGACTGGGGGAATGGGGGGAGTATAGCTGCGGGGGTGGGAGGGAAGGGATGGTAGGGGAAAAACAAAGGAGGAGGCAACAATGCTTGATAGGAAATGTACTCATTACCTTGCTCATGTAACTGTAACTCCTCTGTACAGTATTTTTACAATAAAAAGTATTTAAAAAGAAACAAAAAGAAGTATAAGAGTGCTAATGACAAATATAGGGTAACAAATTTTATAATCTAGAAGTAGCAGACACATTTGTAGAAACACAACCAAATGGGATTCATGAAGACACAGGAAATGAATTGACTTATAGCTAGTAAAAGAGTGAGTCAGTAATAAAATTACCAAGAAAGAAAGGCCCAGGACCAGATGGCTTCTTTGGTGAATTGCACCAAACATTTCAACACTTAACTCCAGTTCTCAAATACTTTCATGAAAATGAAGAAGGGAAAATCCTTTCTAGTTCACTCTATGACCAGCATTATTGCAGTCAGTGAAGACACTTTAGGAGAATAAAAAGAACGATGAATCCTTTTTGTGAATACTACTGTAAAAAACCCCTAACAAAATAATAAAAATTATTAAAAAGCCCAACAAATCAAATTCCATCTCTGCTTTAATATACCACAACCAATTGGAATTTATTACTGGGAGGCAAAGATGATTCAACATATAAAATAATATTATAAATCAATTAATATAATGGGGGGAAATCACTTTAATTATTAGAAAAGCTTCTAACAAAATTAAACACCCTTTTATGATAGAAACACTCCACAAACTTAGAACAGAAGGAAACTCCCTCAATGTAATAAAAGCCATATATAGAGAGCTCACAGCTAATATAATGCTTAATTGAGAAAGACTGAAAACTTTTATTCTAAGATTAGGGGGAGACAATGATGCTCACTTTTAGCACTTCTAATCAGCAAAGGATTAAAAATCCTGTCTCAGGCAATTAAGCAAGAAAAAGAAATAAAAGGCATTACAAATGGAAATGAAGAAGTAAAATTACCTCTGTTGGTAGTGACATGTTACTTGTTCTAGCAAACATAAATGATCTACCAAACACATTAGAATCAACAAATAAATTTAGAACAATAAGCTACAAATTAGCACAAGACACAGGATGCATTTCTATACATGAACAATGTATCTTTGAAAGGAAAAACTAGGCAAATGATTCCATATAAAAGCATTAAAAATGAAAATAAATTTAAAAAAGAACATTTTCTATACTGAAAACTTTAAAAGAACAAAACAACAAACAAACAAACAAGTCAATTCACAAACAGAATAAACAAGCTGATTTTAAAAAGGGCAAAGGACTTGATTAGAACTTTCCCAAAAGAAGACACATGGCCGATAAGTACATGAAAAGATGCTCAAAGTCTCATAAGGCATTAGGAAAAAATGAATTATCATTTCATCCATCAATAGCCATTATTAGAAAGCAAAAAAAATACCCAAACAAACATTGGTAATGATATGGAGAAAATGTAATCCTTGTCCATTCCTGAAGTGAATGTAAAATGGGGCAGCCATTCTTAAAACATTAAACATGGTTTGCAATAAAAGCTAGCAATTCTAATGACAATGTCTATAAATCTAGAAAAAAAGAAGCATAGGTTGCAGCAGATATTTGCAAATGCAGAATCATAGTAGCATTTGACACAGTAGCCCAAAGATGGTAACAACTTGAGTCCATTAACAGAATGGATAAATTTGGTATACAAATGTAGTAGAATATTATTCATCTCTAAACAAGGAGGAGATTCTGACATCTTAAATCTTATAACACAATCTGAAGATATGTTTAGTGAAATAAGCCAGTCACAAAACAAGATATGGTATGATTCCATTTACACAAATTTCCTTCAATAGTGAAATTCATGGAGTCAGAGTAGACAGGGAGAACCTAAAGCAAGTAGAGAGTAATTGTTTGACAAATATGGAGTTTTAATTTAGGAACATGGAAAACTTTTGGAGACTGATGATAGTGACAGTGGCACAACAATGTCAATATTGTATAAGCTTATATATATATATATATATATATTGTACTGTATTAATATTCTTATTCAAAGTTTAAGATTGAGTGTGTGAAAGGCTATTGACACTGATTAACTTTGAAATTTACAATTAAAGCTCACATATTAAAATGCTAAGAATAGCCGGTAAAATAATAAACATAAATATAAATTGCAAAGATAATTATAGATGTTCTACACAGAACATACTATCCTCACAGAATACAGTATACACATTAACATTTATTTCCTATAAAAATATGCAGAACACCATGTGTAGTGGTACATGTTTGTTAATCTCAGCACTTATGGGGCGGGGGGGGGGGCGGTACATGTAGGAGGCTACACTTTTTAGCCAGAAGCTGGCTGTATAGCAAGATCCTGTCTCAATAGGTGAAAGAAAAGAGAGATGGAGACAGTGACAGAGATACAGAAATAGATAGAAAATCAAAGAAGAAAAGGATAGAAAGAAATACTCAGAAAAAAATACAGAGTTCACCTTATACTGTAAGAAGAAATGGGAATAAAATATAGTGCAAGGCACATTTAAGAAATCCTTTCAAGGTATAAGAAATAGGTTTACTGAAAGATTCAATATTCATTAATGAACATTAGGGAACTAATCTTAAAGGAAGAAAAAATATATGTCTTGGAAAGAGTCTTTACAATAAACTATAAATTAGGAGATCGTAGTTGATTAATACACTTACTTTCTGAATTCTACAGTTATTTTTAATGATTATCATGAAACCTGTATAGCAAGAAGGAAATGGTTAAGATGTTAAATAAAAATGGGGGGGGGAAGTAGGCAGAAGTGAGTAACATTGTAAGAGAATGCAAAGTCAGAATCTGGGCTAGGATCCTGGGACAAAAATCCCTGGGGAACAAACATTGAATTGTGCACTAGGAAGGAAAAGAAAGAAAAAGGAAGAAAGGAAGGGAGGGAGGGAGGGAGAAAGAAAGGAAGCAAGCAAGCAAGCCTGCACCTTTGACTTAGTTTCCATATGGAGGAAGGAAGGAAGGAAGGAAGGAAGGAAGGAAGGAAGGAAGGAAGGAAGGAGGGAAGGAGGGAAGGAAGGAGGGAAGGAAGGGCAAAATACACAATATTAGTAATGAAAATAAACAGTATATTTTAAAAACATCAATGAGGGGCAAAAGTTTAAAATTTTTAATAAAAGCCTGATGTGACCCTGTACTTCAACCATCTTTAAAAGGGCTTCACTCTCTTCTAATTCTGATCCCAAGATCCTGTCTTCTCATAAAATTATGATAACTTAGTCCTTGTTGATAATGTTGAAGTAATTTCTGTCTCCCTACTGGGGCTTGAACTCAAGAGCCTAACATTTTTAACACTTTCAATGCTCAAGGCTGGCATTTTACCACTTGAGTCACAACTCTACTTCGGGGTGTGGGGAGGTTGATTGGCAATAAAGGTATCATGGCCTTTTCTGCCAAGGGCTGGCTTTGAACTGGGATCCTCAGATTTCAGCCTCCTGAGTAGTTTGGGTTACAGGGCTTGGCTTGCAATGGTTTTGTTTTCTTTTTAATGCTTGAAGATAGGGTTGCACTGACCACCATCTTCGTGACGAAGATGTTTGGGGCGGTCTTCTGGGACACCCTGGGTGGGAGGTTGGGAAACTGCCACCGGGCCTCACCCACCATGAAGCGCAGGTTGGACCCTCCGGGATAGACATCTCCCCGGAGTTCATTATGGAGTCCCACGTACTCATTGATAAAGTCAACGTCCTCTTCATGTGGCAAGAAGTGCGCGTTCACGCCAGAACCCAGCAGGAGCAGCCACAGCTCACACAGCCACAGCTTCAAAGCTCCGCGGAGCGCCAGGAGCAGCCATTCGGCTTCCATGGTCCGCCTGTGGCCGATGAGCCCATGCGCATGCGTAAACCCGCCCTCTTGACTTGTCAATCTACGGCCACAGTGCCCTGGACCATAAACTGCAACCTTCCTCCCTCCATCTCAGTAAAGGAAATGTGCTGGAGACAGCGAGCAGGCTCTGAGGAGAGCCAGCACTACAGCCCTACAGAAGCTCCTCGTAAATGTCTGTCTAAACTGACAGGAAGACTTGAATCTTTAAGTTTCCCCAAATTGAGAGGGTACAGGTTTTCTTTTTCATACCTTTTGTGCTTTCCCACATGCATATAACTTCCTTTCTTCATTCTCATCTTCCACTAGAATTGGGTGTGGTAGTGCATGTCTACAACAACAGCACTGAGTCAGCAGGATGAGCGTTCAAAGCCAGCCTCCTCAGCTACATACACTCAAAAAGAAACATCCGCAACGAAAACCCCACACAAACTAAGAGACATCCCCACTGGCTTGCTACACTGATGAACACACATTTACATACCATGACTATTTCCTTCAGAGTTTACAAGGAGGTGTGTTGTCACTATGTAGAAATACTAGAGAGCTCATTTTCAAACATAGGAGACTAACATGGTAATATGGGTGGAATCACAGAACATAGTTTGGTTTGTGTAGAACATAGTTTGGGATTCCTGGAAGTATTCTTCAAGTATTCTGTCTTTCAGTTCTGTTGATGAATTGGCTACACCATATACATCATACCTCACAATTCAAAAAAAAATTCAAGAGGTGTGTTACATATGAGTATCTATTATTGTTTTACATAGTATTTATTAGTCCACCTTTTGGGGGTGCCTTAGTACCAAAAGATTGTTGGATTTCTCATAAATTTTTAATTTTTATATATTTTTGAGTTTGGGGTGGTTGGCTTGCCTTCCAAATATTTAAACTTATATTATTGCTAAAGCAATGAACTAATTCAGCACAGGAAACTTCTTGAAGGAACTGGGATTGTTTGAGTGCTGACAAAATCATTTATATACTTGAACATGACATGGAAAATTATGCCATTGGATTATGTTGTTATGAGTAGAGAATCCTCGGGGAACAGACCACGGACTCAGAATTAATGCTTAACTAAGAGGTAATTTATTAGCAGCAAAAAGGTGCTTGGTGGAGCTATCTATTCTCCATTACCTGCTCCCCCCACCCGAGGGTGTACTGTTGGTATTTTGCATATAATCTACCTTGCTGTGTGAAACTCCTCTCCTGTGCCTCTTGATCCCTCTATCCCCAGTCCTTCTTTTGGGAATACCAGTAATCTGCCAGCTCTCACTATTCTTGAAGTTAATTACTGGTATATAAAGATAGTGTGTCATATCTGAAGTGTACTGATCTCCATAAATTGTAGCAACTTAAACAATAGCCCATACTTATTAGAATACTAGAGAATAGAACTCTTTTGATAGATATATAATGGTATTTTTTGGGGGGTTGGTCGTGGGGGCTGAATTCTGGGCCTAGGCACTGTCTCTCAGGTCTTCAGATCAATGCTAACACCCTACCACTTGCGCCACGCACCACTTCAGACTTTTTTCTGCTTATGTGGTGCTGAGGAATCGAACCCAGGGCCTCATGTATGCAAGGCAACACTCTACTGAGCCAATTTCCCAGCCGTATAATAGTAATTGTTTTTTTTAAAGTTGGCTTTATTCTATTACTTCCTGCTTTCTGCACTACAATATCTTCCATTTACAAAAAACCAGTGGAGGTGGTGCCTCAAATGGTAGAGCACCAACCTTGAGCAAATGTGCCAACCAAGAGCATGGAGCCCTGATTTCTAGCCCCCAAAAGAGTATAGATGAATAAATAAGACATTTAATAAGTTTAGATTCCACTTAGTAGTGTCGATGATTTAATAGAGAATTAAACTGATGATGAGTTACAGTTAGCCATACACGGTTCCTTTATTGTGGTATATAAATGATAATTAAAATACTTTCAGAAGAATAAAACCTAGGATGAGTAAGTTACGAGCTGTCCTCCGAGATGCTTTTGCCTGGGTCATCTTATGTGGATGTTCTGTAAACAAAACACAAGAATCAAATCAATGTAACTTCAAAGGGATAAAATGACTGAAGCAACACTGAAATGTTTTGATACAGACAGGGTAAAAAATGTTTGGGCCTTTTAAAATAGGAACATTTTGTGAAAACAGAAAGCATAATCAATTTAGAAAAAGTAGTTTGGCATTCTAACTTAAGAAAATGAATGCTTTTTCTCTAAGCCCTACTGTACTTAAAAATCTTCATGAAGTTCCCACTTACAGGTGTCATTGTGAACAAATATGTATAGATTGTCTCATGTTGAAGGCACAAAGTCTTGAAATTTTCTCAACTACAAAGCAGTCAACTTTATTTTATTTTATTTTTTGCCAATCCTGGGGCATGAACTCAGGGCCTGGATACTGTCCTCGAGCTTCTTTTGCTCAAGGCTAGCACTCTGCCACTTGAGCCACAGTGCCACATCTGGCTTTTTCTGTTTATGTGGTACTGAGGAATTGAACCCAGGGCTTCATGTATATTAGGCAAGTACTCTACCACTAAGCCACATTCCAGCCCCTCAACTTTATTTTTAGCACTCCACCATGCTCAATTCAAGTCCTTGATCAAATGTAATTTCTTCATGTTTACCTTTAACTATCACCTAAATTTCTGTGGTCCTTGCCTCAGGTATTGTTCCTTGTCTTTTCACATCTATTTTTTCTTTTCCACTTAGCCTCCTGGGAGGATCTTGTATTAAGAGTTCTTTCCTTTTTTTTGCTTCCCCCCCTACATTCACTTGTGCATTTTCATTGATTTTCTGTGATGTACTGAGCATGATTTTAAGACTTTGGCCATAACGGTGATCAGAAGAAAAAATTAAGTTTCCTTTATGGTAAAGGGTGAACAATCTATCATTAATTTATGGAATAAGTAGGTAAAATTAGTAAGAGTGATCATTTCAGAGAGCTATAAGTACTATTACCTATAATATAAATTATGCTAGAAAATGATCTGAAATGTGTTAAAATGGAATTTTTTGGTGCCTTTGTTTTGGGCTGAAGTAACTTTGTATGATTTTTTTTAATGTCCTATTAGTCACCTCCTGAGGTAAGCTACTCAATTCTAGCAGCTATGTATTGACATATTGTGCCACGATCCCTGTCTCAGTAAAGACGCCAACCAAGCTAAAGGTTATATTTAAATAAAAATTAACAACAAAAAAGAGGAAGCACATTAATCAGTTCCCAAGACTTAGGTGGACCATAATTACATATTTAGCAGAAATAAAAGAATAAAATAATTTACAAATATTTTCCCCAATCCTAAATATCACATAATCATTAAAGGAATCAGTAACTAAAATTTACAAATACATAACACAGACACCAGAATAAAAAGTTTTACAGATTATGTCTTCCAAATATTAAAAAATTAGGTAATAAGAATCTTACACAATTGTAATCCACATAAAAGAAATGAAAAAGTAACACTTCCTACTTTCAGTTTCTTTTTTGACTATCTTAAAGTCGAAATTTTGTAAATACAAATGAGGAAGAAAGCTTGTAGATCAATTATAATTCTGAATTTAATTGCAGAAATATAAACTATTGTAAACAAATTTATTTTATAATGTATAATTACATAAATATAATTATATAAGCATAACATTATAAATACAATATTGAAATATTTTTATTTTATGTATACATTTTATAAGTTTTGAAATTATACATAAAATATTACAAGAATCTAGCCATCTATAAGGCTAACCTCATGACCAAATTGCAGAGGGAATGGTTTAATATTGGACTATTTAGTCACCATTTAACTTCCCTACCCTTTGAGATCTTACAGTAGGGCTATGTTGTACAAGAACTCTTTGGATATAGCTTACAACATTAGCACTAACGGAAAAAGAATCAGGATCATTTGAGGAGATATAGGGAAAATGTTAATTTTAAGCATTATTCGAGTTCAGAACAATCAGTGCTTACTTCTGAATGAGTGGTTATTCTAACAATAAATAATAAAAGGAGATATATAGAGGAAAACACAAATACACATTGCAGCCAATAGTATTTTGAGTATGGCCACAAACTGGGTCACAGTTCTGCATCATTTCTGTTTTTTAAATTGAGAGCTGGAGTAATCAGTGCAGAGAGAAAGAATCTGAGTTTTAATATAGTCATTTGTGGCAAATGAATTATATTACATAGAAGCAGTGAGATCTTATCCATAAAATTTAAACTAAAGGTATTACCATTTAAAATGTAATGAATTTATGAAAAAAATCATTGTCTAAACATTATTATTATTACTAATTATTGCTTACTGCAGAGCCTCCTCACGCATTTCAGTCCTTTTGGACACAGAGAGCAGGATTTTCCTTTTATATAGGGGGCCTTATTTGCAAAATTTCCTCTGTAAAAAAGAAAAACATTTATTGGCTAAAATGGCTATATCTTTTCAAATTTTGTGCGTGTATTTATGTAAACCAGTTTGGCCATTCACTAAATTATGTGTATTGATAAAGAAAACTAACAAGTATTGTCCCAACATATGCTTCATTCCTTTAATAAAAAGAAATGGTTAAAATAGTTCTTACTTGGCCTTCTATACTGATAAATTTATCTTTTGGTTCTAGAAGAGTTTTGGTACTCTATTGTATTTTCTATATAGAACTATGAATTAGCAGTTAAAAAGAGATAGATCAAAGGCCAAAAATGCCCCCCCTCCAAAAAAATGGGTCATGGTTTTTGTGCAGTTTGAAGACTAAGAATTATTTCTTATACTTTAATAGTCAAAGCAAAAATAAAAAGATTACTAAAGAAGAAAAACAATAACCAAAGATTAATATATAAGATACAGCGGTGCATGGCCTGTAGTGTAGTATGTTTACTACTTGGTAATTTACAGAAAAGACTCTTACTGTTAGTTATTATGTTAGCTACCAAGTTTCCTTGGGTGACCCTTATTATATTCAAGACATATCTTCATTTTTATTTCACTGAGAGTTCTTATTTTTAATGATATTCTTTCCTTTCCATCTTTTGAAATAACCACATTATCCTTACTTTCAGTAGATTACATGGCAAATTTCTTGGATGATTTTGGAATGTTGAGTCAGCCTCATTTTCTCAGGATAACCTCCCCTTAGGTTAGCTATGTTGTTAATATATTATTGGATTCAATTGCTTTATTTAGAATTTTTGTATTTGTGATTTGAGGGATACTTCTCTACAGTGTTCTATGCTCTTTTCTGTATAATTTGTGAGAAGTTTTTCTATCTTATTTAAATTGGAAACATTACTGGCTTAAATGTTGATATTTTCCATTTTGTTGTCTGTAAAACATGCTGTGCTGTGTCATCTATTTCCATAAGAATGAAATATCATGTCTTCCTAATCACTATGGGTTGAGAATTGGTAATTTCTTTATTAAATAGCTTTGGATCTTAATGATTTTTCTGTTATTTTTATTGGTCATTTCACTTATGTATGAATATTTTTGTTATTTTTTTCTTGCTTTGTGTTTACATTTCCATCCCCTCCACCCCCCCAGTTTCTTAGATGGAAGACGAGGTCATTGATTAGAAGGGATTTTCCATTTACATCGTGGGCCTTTAGTACTATAACTTCCCTTCAACTGGTTGGTTTAATGGTATCCCCAAACAATTTGTGTTCATTTTTCTTCGCTTCACAATACCAATTTCTGTTTAATTTTTTTCTCTGATTTATAATTTACTTGTATGTTAATATTCAAATATTGTCAAATTACAATGCCATTCTGTTATTTGCTTGTAATTTAATTCCAATGTGGTCAGATACTATGCTTTGCATGATTTTTAGCTGTTTAAATTTACTAAAATTTATTTTATTACAGATTATGACTGATAGAAAATGTGAGCTATACATAAAAGAATATGTATTCTGCAATTGGTTTTTTTTTGATAGTATATTTTTTAATTAATTAATTAATTTTTTATTTGTGAACATACTGTACAGAGGGGTTACAATTACATGGGCAGGATAATGCGTACATTTCTTACCAAGCATTGCAGCCTCCTCCTT